TTGCTTTTAATTACTAAGAGTAAGTCCTAAACTTTAACTCTTTTTAATGCTAAGACATATACTTACACTTACACCTAAATAATACCTAAGTAGCACTTAATATAGAAGGTTTCTAGACCTACTTTTTAATAACCTAGAAAAAAACTACTTAAGTAAGGCTAATAAGCTAGGCCTTTTACTAAAATAAGCTATGTAAAATAATTTAATAACTACTTAAACTTAAAAAAAAGAAAGCCTTTATAAAATCTTTACTTACTTAATTTAGACATAAACTAGAACTTAAACAGCAGATAGACATCTACTATATAGAACCTACCTTATTTATAACTCTAGCTTAATAACTAGATTACAAAATCTACATAGTTATAATTTCTAATATAGACTAAGCTTTAGCTCTCTAAAAATGCACTAACCTAAGAATAATAGTCCCTTAAGACTACTATAACTTATTATATATTTTTTTTAAAATAAGTTTAATAAGCTTTTAATATAACATTTATATAATTACTAAATAACTCTTAAGCTTAGTAAATAACCTAGTTATAGGCTACTATATAAGATGTTACGAAATAAATTAAAAGTGCTTTAAAAATACCTTAACAAAAACCTAAAAAAGGGTTTATTTAAGCTAGCTTTTTACTAGTAGTGTTACTTATACTATTTATAAAGAAACCTAAGAGTAGGCTTTAATTCTATGTTAACTACTAAAGACTAAACACTATTACTATTAAAAACTAATACTTAATTTTTTTTTATAAAAAACTCTAAGCTAACTAAGTAAAGTAAAGTATTTTATAAAGTTAGATATTATTACTGCCTTTAACAAGCTAAAAATAGTAAAGGGTAATAAGTAGCTAACAGCATTTTAAACCTAATATAAACTATTTAAGTACCTAGTAATGCCCTTTAGCTTAGCTAACGCGCCTAGTACTTTTTAATATTTTGTAAATAACTTACTCTAACCCTACCTAGACATGTTCTAGACTATGTATATTAATAATATTTTAATTTATAGTAATAGCCTTTTAGAGCATAAATAGCATGTACGCCTAGTGCTAAAAGCTATAGAAGAAGTAGGTCTATAACTTAACATAGACAAATATAAGTTTTACTAATTAAAGGTTACATATTTAGAATATGTAATCTTTATAGATAGCATTTAAATAGACCTTATTAAAGTTTAGACTGTACTAGATTAGTAATACTTAAAAAATATATAAAATATTTAAGCTTTTATAAAATTTACTAACTTTTACTAATAATTTATTAACAACTTTTTATAGTAAGTAAGCCCTATAATTACACTTACTAAAAAAAAGATTTAATTTAACTTTAACTTAAATTACTAATAGTTTTTTAACTAGCTAAAAAAAGCCTTTACTAAAGCTTTAATACTCTACTACTTTAACTTTAAACTACTAATACTTATAAAAGCTAATGCCTTAGACTATGTAGTAGCAGGAGTTCTCTTCTAGACTAAGCTAGATAGGACTATTAAGCCTATTACATACTTCTTAAAAAAATAAGTCTTATAAAAAGTAATTATAAAATCTATAACAAGAAATTACTTACTATAGTATACTACTTTAAACAATAGCAACTTAAACTAGAAAGTGTAGCGCATTTAATACAGGTTTTATCTAACTATAAGAACTTATAGTACTTTATAACTATAAAATAACTTAGCTACTAATAAGCCTATTAGTTTAAATACTTATTTTATTTTAATTTTAAGATTACTTATTATTTTAGTTAAAATAAAAGAAAACTAGATGCTTTTATAAAGCAATCCTAAGACATTCTTACTTAAAAAAAAGTGTAAAAGGCTTAATACTAAACTCTACTTTAACTTAAGCTATTTTTAGACCTTAACCTAAATAAAATAAAATAATTAATTAATTAAATTATTACTAATAAGTATTTAAATAATAAATTTATTTAAAAAACTTTAAACTTACTCTAAAACAGCACTAGTTAGTTAAAGAAGGTAATACTAGCTAACTATAAAAACTAAAATAGTAAGCTATATTACTATAACTAACTTATAATCTTTAATTTTAATAAACTAAGAATTAAACTACTCTAAATTATACACAACTTGCCTGTTAAAGAACACCTAGGCAGAGGAAAGACTCTTAACCTACTACAGAGAGAGTACTACTAGCCCCACATGTTCTATACTGTACGCTAATATGTATTATGTTGCTATACTTACTATAAAGTAAAGGCCTTTTAAGAAAGGTATAATAGCCTACTTAAACTACTCTTAATCTCTAAATAAGCTTAAAAAGATATATTAATTAATTTTATTATAAACCTACTCTTATTTAAAGAGTATATAAATATTATAGTAGTTATTAATTACTTAACTAAGTATTAACACTTAATACTATGTTTCTTTATAACTGCCCCTAATATAGCCTAGTTATTCTACTAATACATATAAGTTTACTATAGCCTGCCTAACATAATTATATTAGATAGAGGTACGCAGTTTGTCTTAGCCTTCTAAAACAAACTTTATAAATAGCTCTAAATAGTCCTCTATTTATCTACAGCTTTTTACCTAGAGACTAACAGCTAGACTAAAAACATAAATACTATAATAAAATAAGTCTTATAAGTATACATAAACTACTAGTAAGATAACTAAGTAAAATAGTTAGCTATAGCATAGTTTAAAGCTAATAATATAACATTTAAATTAACATAAGTATCTTTATTCTTAGTAAACTATAAATACTACTTTTAAATAAAATTTAAACTACTTTTAAATACTTTTTAACTAACTTATTAATTTATATAAGTAACAAATGTAAATAAACTTATTAATAAAATTTAAAATATATCTAAATATGTTTATAAAAAGCTTACATAGGCTTAAGCTTTTTAACAAAAGTATATAAACTAATCTTAAACTTCTACCCTTATGTATGTAGCTAGCAAAAAGGTCTAGCTAGACACTAAAAATATCTAAATAAACTAATAATTAAAGAAACTTAATTAGAAAAACTTTAGCCCTTTTATAGTAGTTTATATAGTTTTATTATATGCTTACTAATTAATCCTACCTAACAGCATAAAGATACACCCTGTGTTCTATGTATTATTACTACGCTAAGCAGCTTCTAAATCTAACTATCTACTTAGATAGCTAAACCTACTACCTAAACCTATTATTATAAATAATAAACTAGAATATGTTATAAAAAACATTAAATAAATCTAGTTTAATAAAAAAAATGTATCTATAAATACTTTATAAAATAAACTAGATATAATAAACTGTTATAGGAACCTGCAGAAGCTCTATAAAAGAACTTTACAGTAACCTAATTTTACGCCTAATACCTATCTAAACTAAACCTGTACTCTAATAAAGACAACTTAATGCTAGAACTACTAATGTAAAGGATTCTTTTCTTAATAAAGAGAGGGTACTGTTATAGTATCCTCTCTAGATCCTAGACATAACTATATTAGACGTGTACTAGAGTATTATTAGTGCACGTCTAACATAAACACAACATAATATAGACATAAACTTAAGTATAAACTACTTTAACACTAACTAAACTTAAAATAGGCTTAATTTATACCTAAAGCGCTTAGACTTTTAAGCTAAGTATTTAATTACTAATTTCTTTTTAAACCTTTCTGTTCCTCACACAACGTCTTGTACCTACTATAATACCTTACATAGTAATTAAACTAGACCTCTGTGAAGCTCTATAACCTTACTTGTGCACAATCGTGACATACACCTAAATTTATTAGCTAACTCTGCTGCAGCTGCACTAGCCTCCTACTTTAAAATAATTAAATCCTAAGCTTTTATAGATAATTTACTCTTTCTTACGCAATTTAAGCTTATTTCCTGCCTAAAAGAACGTCGCTGCATAGTTGTGCAGTTAGTGGTTGAAGACGCGTCGCATCGCGAAACATAGTGCTAGTGGCTTGGCGAACCAAACTTTTGTCCTGTAGGTGTAACTTAGGCTTAAATATAATTAAATAAATAATTAATATAATATTATTAAAAAAGTTACTATTAGTAAGAGTAAGTTTTTTAATATAATATAATAGCGTAGGCAAGACAATAGGTCTAAATGCAGTGTAAATCTGCTCAGAGGCATGTAGAAGGGTATAGAGAATTAGAAACCTAGGAATTCTATTAACACCTATAGACCTTGTATAAAAGGATATTAGAAAACTGCTAAGCTAGCTAAGAGAAAAGGTGCAGCTAAATACTTAGAGATAGGGGTAGCGCAGGGGGCAGGGCAGGGTTGGGGCAAATACGCGGAACCTTTGGATGTAGGTTTGTTAGGTAACTTTAAATGGAACAATTTATGCGAATTGTTACAACATCTATTCTTATTAGCTTTGCTATTTGCTTCTCTATTGAAGTCCTGCTGAGCGTTGCGCTCAAATATTGCGATGCCAATCTACCCTAGAATTTAAGGCACGCCTCCTTCTGGGGGAGAGTCTTCGCTATTGTTTTCGACGTTTTCTAAGCAGGTTTGTCAATAGCTGGCACAACTACAATTGTATTCGTACTTCACTCAAGAGGTAAGATAATATACTGCTTGACATGGCTTTTTGATTCAACTTCAGCTTTTTATCAGCACAAGTGTAAGATTATCTAGGTAGGTTCTTTAGGCTTGCGAAAGTTAGTGAGCTATAGGCTAGATTTCCAACCAGTTTCGCGTTTCGGCAAAACGGGAACTTGGTCAGAGACTCGCTGTGAATACCAGATCATAGATCAAGCAGTTAACGATAATAGCGCAAATTGTCATACTCCTCCTTAATCTCTATCTACTACTTAATCGCCACTATCTCATCAGTACTATTCCATTCCCCCTTCATCAATAGATCCCCTAAACCCAACCTGGGGGAGCGCTACCGCGATGCGATAAGCGAGAGTCACGTTCGGCGCCAGCCTCGTGTGTACCGTTTGTTAGATAGTCAAACGAGAACCCACCGCAGATTTTGGTTCCGTATGGATATCCTATAGTAGCAGCGCCTCCGGCCGGAAGTCAAGCTGCTCTATCAGCATACCCTCCGCGAGATCCTGAATAAACAAGCTAATCGCCTATCACCAAGGTCCTGTTTCTTGACGTTCTGTCGAGTATTGATCCATGAGTACTGTTCTTCGACCTACTTGCAAATCTAGCATCTTCTCCACTTGCGATATCTTCTTCGCTCGTAGTCTCTTCTGCCAGCGTTTCAAGATCCATTCTCCTATGATACGGCACTGTCCTTTTTCGTTTGTGACCAGTCAGAAAAACAAAAAGCCCAGTGCCCATCATTTTTAAGACTCCACTTCTTTTTTTGGGTTTGGATGTTTCTGGAATTTTTGAACCAATCGAAGAAATATCTGCAGTTTGGACTTTTTCCTTGGCTGGTGTACGTTTTCCCTTCTTTTTAGATTTCTCCCCTCTCGATTTGGTCGCATCTGACATCACCATACTCCAGCCAATCGCGAACATAATGAAAATAAACAAGACCACATAAAGGAGGGCCAGAAAGCCGTTCCTCGGCCATATGATCACTATCAGGAGGACGACAATCGGAACAGTTTGTCCCAGTTCTATCGCCGAACGTAGAGGCTTTCTTGTATTACGTCGCATTGAAATGTAGCCCCGCCCGACTAAACGCCTCGGCTCGTCCCATCTGATAAATTCATATCGCTCTTCTATAATGTGTATTATCGTGGAACCATAGAAGATCAAACCGGCCATGCCTGCTATAGCGCCCACAATCAGTGCTGTGATGAACATTGTTCGATACGAGAAAAAGCTCTGGACTCCGTTTATCTGAATTCGGGAAACGGGGGCGATGAAAGAAATGCCGGTGATGACAATTCCAAGCCTCCCCAGGATTCCTCCATATTGTGAGAATTGCAAATCAGATTGAATGGCAGTTGAGGTTCGATCTACCAACTCTATAGTACGAAGTAGGTCTGATTTGGAGATAGGAGTAGATAGAGTTCCCCCATGGCACGAATGTATTAACTTGAGTGTATCTTCAAACTCGCACAATTCGATTTGCATGGTGTGAAGCTGCACACTCAAGTTCCTCAGCTGATTTCTCCAGTATCTTAATTGTTTATTTGAAACTTTGGTCTCAATGGAGCTTCTTTGGATCTGGAGAAGAAGATCACGGACAGATTGGAGGAATTCAACCGTATCCAGACGGATTATTTGCATGAGCTCTTTCATGAGGCTCATACCGGAGTCTAAGCCATCTGAATTATATAGGCAGATTTCGAGCCTTTCCAAGGTTTCCTTTGGTAAAGGGATGGAAAACGGGACGAGGTTCTCAATTTTCGTCGCTGTCAGAGGAGTCCCATCGAAAATGTTATTCAATAAATCTCTTGGAGGTCGAGTTATTGAACATGTCTCTTCAATCCATTCGGCAGTCTCGTGCTTAGTTTGGCTGTCGCTTTTGTTATCGTGTTGAACTCCCTCTGTTTCAGAACTTTGGGACCCGTCTGGTCGAGGGTCTAGAAGAATAATGACTGCACATAAAGTAAGTAATTGAGCTATCGAAGTGAGCTAAACGTACCAACAGCGGGACAGTCGTTCTCCTTTGCACAGTAAACCGTAATTCTCTCCTCCCATGCGCTTATGAAACCCGATTCATGGTCTCCTGCTTCATATGAATCGTCGACATTGACTAGGATGTGAATTCTCCGCCGAAAAAGATTAACAAGGGGATAAATATATGCTTCAAACGTAGGAAGACGTCCCCAAAGACCAAATTTAGAGAGGATACCACAAAAATAGCCTTCCTGCTGTTTATCGATAGGTGGATCAAATGCTGGGTCTGTTACCGAACGGAACCATCTCATGGACGCCAATGACTTTTTGATGCAATGCGTATTCTGCGTACTGGATTGTTTGTAGTCATGGAGTAAACTGGAAGATTTGGAACTATTCAGGTGTATCTCAAAGAATTCCGGGTTCATCCAAAAGGCAGAGCCTAACCCATTGATAACAACAGGCGACAAACCCGAAAACAGGAGGAATCGACTGCGGAGGCCCGACGGAGGCAGAAGTTGCGAAAGATTAATCCTCCGACAATTATTGCGATTCTTCGCTCGTTCAGTAAGCATTCCAGGCCGTTTATGTAAAACAGTTGAGAGGTCATAGCAAATTCCCCGTCCATTTGATAGTTTCCCGGCTTTAGTCTGTAACACGGGTTTGAGGTGCGGCATGGATAATTGGCGAACCATGTTTATGTAGCCATCCTCTTCTAATACATCGGTCTCGGCCAGCGAAAGGCTTGAATCTTGGGGGTTTGTTCCGAACTTTGATATTGTGTGTGGTGCATTCGTTTCCAAGTCTATTATGTAAATATTGGACTGAAAATATGCTGAAGGTCGAGATTGGACATGAGCTCCATTTTCATCCGGAAAGATGTCCAACATTTCTTTCACTTGTTTTTCAGTTTCATTGTCCTTCAGCTCGTCGCGGGATTCTGGCCGAGTAGCGCGTCTGCTGTCTCTGATAGATGGGTCTTTGCTCAATGAGAAGGAGTTGCTGCGCTGCGCACCTTCCTGGTGTCTACTCCATATATTTCTTACAGATAGATAACGACTTGGCTTTTTTTCAGCCTTATCAAAAGAGGTCTGGGACGTCATGTTTTCCGTTCTGGGAATGCCCCTTTCTTCCCGAGGGTTGCACTAAGTATTGCTGCTGATTTGCACTTTGGTTGCAACGATGTAGTAGATGTCTCTAGGAAGACATTGAGCCCAACAAGCGTGCGGAGGCTAGTGTATTTGATTCAGGTGGGGAACCGCCTCAAATGCTCCCAAAGCGGATGTTCCCACAAGTGTGATTGGCAAGAATATTGATTGATGCAGCTTGTGCGGCCGGTGCGAAATACTATCTTTGTAAATCACTCCAATGGTAGCTCTGTAGCTATTTAGGAAAAACCTGTCGTATCAGCAGAAGTTGGCCAAGATGGTGTTTATACGTGCTGAATAACACACACCGGCCAAAACAATTTTTGGGAACAGTTCTCATTACGTAAATGATCTGATCGAGGAAATGCAGCTGAATGCAGGCCAAAGCTAGAAGCTAATCATTCCTGGAAGAGGGGACATGATGACATGCATGGTAAGCATGGGCAAGGTTCGGCCAATATTGAAAATATGTCGGTTCCTGTACAAGGATGGCAATTGGTGCCAGGTAATAAAAATGCCAAGTGTGGTCGTGAGGCCATAGTTTTGTCCAATAACACCCGCAAGTCTTTTGTGCCAGCTCCAGATTTGGGATGCAGTGCATTTCAGCTCCAAATCTTCCCCGCGCGTAGTGCCCGCGAAGCAGTGTGATTAAGTCCCCGCCAATGGAATCAAATATTATTATCTTATGGAGCCGAATTACATGTCTCTAGCTCCGCCCTCAGTGGCACTGGCCCCTCACTTGCTACCCACGTCCATGGTAGCTATTCTCGGCACCTCTACCTTCATTACATATTCACGTTTTCATCGGGCTAAATAAATCCCAAATGAAGCGAAATTTATCGGGGCTACGTTCTTAGTATCATTCCTAACCTTTGCTAGCCGTAGACAAAGGCAGCCTTCCCACTAGGGCCTTTGCGCAAACAAAGAAGCACTTGAGCTGTTCGTGCAATGGTTGCTACCACCACACCCGCTTCAATTACCAATGGCGCGTTGCCCGGCGGTTGTTTGTGGAGATGCTAATGACTTGTAGGTCAAGAAAAGGTGGAAACACATCCAAATTGGCACAGGGATGCATTAGGAAGAGTACAAGTGATCAATGAAGAAGACCAACACTTCGACCATTTCCTGCGGCCTGACAGCGGTCGCATAGCGAAACTCGTAGTTCAGACGATAGAAGACATCAATGACCAGTCAGAATGGATCCAGGTTCCACTGATCGTAAGAACGAGGCCCCTAAGCCGGTTGCTAACGTGGAGTTGGCCCGATATGAAGTGTAATAACATCACCATCACCCTAGTCCTCGAAATGGCTGCGAAATGGCTAGTTTCATGCCTTTTTATGTTAATATTGGTAGGCTACCCGTCAGTCCAGATTATGTCTCAAATGCTAACACCAAGAAAGCTAGTTATTCCAATAAACTTTGAAAGCGAAATCAGAAACGGAGGATACTACGACTCGATAAAATATCGGGACTGGGGCTACTGCAAATCAGCCAAGAATCCATGCCATAGCAACCCCGAAGAGCGCAACGAAATAATCTTAAATGAGTTCGAAAATGACATTACGAAGTCGTCGACAGAAAACCGGCCAAGAAACATCGAATGGGCGATTAGTGATAGATATAGAGGAATCGCAATGCGACCTCTTCGCCCTAGAAAGCTGTGTTTCGTGAACCCTAGGGGAGATGGATATAAGGTTGATTCTACTGAAGGTGTGAATGTGGAGTATGTATTCATCTCTTACACCAGAGAGCAATTCTGCGTCAGTTCCGATCCTTACACGGAACTGTGTCAGAGAGATCGAGCAAAACTGGGAAGTTTCGGTGTGGCAGCAGCGCACGCAGCCAATGTTCAGGCTTTCTGGATCGATTTTGAATGCCTCGACCAAGGGGATACTGGTACATCGACTAACGAAGCTGTTGAGACGGCCACAATCTCCTCCGACCGTGGAACAGAGCACACTAGGTCAGGAAATACAGCAAGTAAGCCTGTGAACCTAGAGATTTACAACATTTGCGACATCGTTCGCAGTTGTCATTCTGTTGCTGTAGTTATTGGCCCTCCATTCCACAACAAGAATGGTTCATTTACTGCAAAAGATCGCGCAGGTTGGCTACACACATGGGGATCTCGGTTATGGATCTTGCCGGAATTACTACTAGCTCCCACGGAACACAGATTCAGGATATTCACAGAAACAGTTGACACCGGTGCCGAGTTGGTCGCCAAGCGCAACCTGGCTGAACGGGCATGCGAGGATGCGTTTGATATCAGGCAGCTCATCGACCACTACGAGTCTACCACCCAACTCTCTCAATTGGAATTCATTCCTCTAGCGTTGGAGTGCTTGCAGCGCCGGAGTACGAAAGCAAGAACGCAGGCTGATATCGCACACGCATTCAAGGGCTTGATGCGCCGCCAGACGAGCTATATTGAGAATGAGAGCGGTTTTGAGGCCCTGGCGAGCTGGTCACTAGCTAGCCACAGTGAAAAGCTGCTAGAACGCTTAATCTGCCTTCTTCCGCCAGACCCTTGGGCAGAATGGCATGATATGCACGATGCCTGGAGGATGAATATTTGGGATGTCGAACCTTCATGCCAGGTTGCTGGCATTGTAGACCATAAATCGGTGCTTATAGACGGAGCTTTTGGGGCGTCGATCCAATGGCATCAGCTGGAGGCTGTGGCCATCATCAAGAGGAAGACATTGTGGCGACAAGTTGCCAAATATGTTGTTCGTCTGACTCCGCTTCACTTGGCACTTAGCGTGATGTTAGTCATGACATCCACTACATTGGAGTATCGTTGGCAACACAATAGACATTTACTTGTTGTTGGAACATTCATTCTAGCTAGCTCACTGGCTGTTGTGCTTGGATTGCCTTACTTGCTGCGGGTTTTCTATCGAGGTTGGTGGACGCATCAACTCTATTGTGGCACCTAGCTGACACTTTTCTTTAGGTAAATTCTGGTCTACTCAGGCTTGTCTTTTCGGCATAGAAGGCTCTGTTTCTGACCTGAAAGCAATTGAGAAGGCTCTTTTCGGATTTAGCGAAGGCCGCCTCAAGTGGAGCCCGAATGGAAGCTTACTTTCTCAACATTACCCAAATAGCAAAGGCGAATGCGAAGGCAAGCCTCCTTTGGAAAGCAATATTCGAGCTATCAACAACAGACACCAGGAAAATGGGAAGACGGAAAGTCTCAACAGCAATTCTCAACGACCTGGCCCACAACAAAGGTTATTCACTCTCATTGACACGTACACAATGACGGCAACTAAGTTCTATGCGTATCACCCGCCCACTGTAGCAATTGTCTGCGGACAAGAAGGCGGCATGCAACGCGTGATTCTCTGCTCATATGAATGGAAGACGAGGACGTTCTGTCGAGAGACGGTATTACGAATGAAAACAATCATTCTTGAAAGAATGTTTCGGGTTGATAGTTTTAGGCTAGCATTGAGGAGAGAAATGCCAGTGGCAGCAGATACGCTTTCGCCTACTGGTATTTGAATTTACAAAGCGGAAAATGTTAAAACCGAGAATTTTCTCTCTCTAGGTGTTCCGTACTTTGCACCGTTATGTATGGCTGGCGTATTAAGCAATACACCCGTGTCTCTTCACTATTAACAATTGTCTTCCTAAGGTATCTATTTGGGAATTAGACTAATTCCTGCAATAACGTCGAACCCTTGAGATTCATCGCAATATATCAATATGACTATATAGGAAATAGTATCCAAGATTAAGGAGTCAGACATACTTCAATCGTGCCATTCCATAGCCTGTGTAGGCATCACCCTATCTACAGCTAAGGCTATCTAAGAAGGTGCGACTTTATATTATGATAACAGAGCTTATCCACTTCCAAAAAGCACCTAACACTTGATGGTAATGACAAGGTAGCTAGTAAAGTGCACAAAACATTCTGTTTGTACACGTAACGGAATACAAACTGAGAAAGAGATTTTATCTGGTCTATCCTCTCCGTTTTGGTGTCGTTCTTGCTCTCGCTCTCACCTTTTTGTTCACCTTCCTCCTCTTATTAGCGCTCTTCTCCCCAGAAATCCCAAACTTCTTCCGCCGTAAAGCGGCAAGTCTCTTCTTCTTGACGGACGTATTGATGAATATACCAATTAAAAATGCCAAAAACTCGAACAAGATCGGCCAGGAGCCTACATCAATTAAAGCTTGAGCAAATCCCAAGCAGAACGGCAAGCAAAACCAATAAACGCGTACGGTGGACATGAAGCCAGCCCTTACTGATGCTCTGACCTGGTGGAAAGTCCGAGCACCGGCAATTAATGCTATTGCAACTAGGTAGGTTGCACCCTGGACTAACCGAACCTGAATGCCGATTAGAAACGGAGAGATGGAAACTAAAACGAGGTGGGTGTGGGGTACAAACTCACAATCATGGTTTCCGCCCAGGTAGTCACAGTGTGGCATCTCAGGTCTGTGCATGTAGGAAAGCTCATTCGAATTAGGGGACCCAAAACTTGAACCAACGGAGCACTGATAAACAGTCCATAAAGAGCGGTTTTAGGTACTCGTGAGGTATAGTAGCTACCGTGTTTGCCCTTGTCATGGGCAATCCACGAAGCAAGTAGCTCTTGCATGGCAGCAAGAATCCCCGAAACCGTCATTTTAGCGAGTATTTGCCAGTTGAATTTTCTCGGTTCTGTGAGGCAGGCACATTGATGCGGAAATGGTGGAATAGTGACAGTTTCTGCAGTAGTCGATATTTGCGGTGTAGCAAGACAAGTGTATTGATTACCGTTATGGGCGAGGACTATGGTGGCTTGGAAGATGAGCAAAGTTTGATACAATATTGGCTGCATTTTGGAGATTACAATACTGCTTGGTTCAACGTAGGCCCAAATTGCCTCGAAGCGAAGATAGGGGCTATTCCCAACGTAGTAGTATGATGCATGGGAGGGTAATGAGCAGGCGGCTCACCCGACCCAGGTTTAAGGCTCTTCCTATACTGCCTCTCTGCTGCCAAGAATATTAGCGCAGATAGCTTATCTTAATGTTACAGGCAAGGACTTTGCCCTAGCCTGGGATAAGATCAGACAAGCGAGGGCCGGGACAGAGTGGGTCCCAAGTCGGTGCGGCGAAGCGAGCGTACAAGGGGGGTGCAGGAAAGGGTGAGTAGTGCGGTTTGGCGCACCGCCCGAGAATCGTGAGGCTCCGATGGCGGCCTCCTCTCCAAGACGCGTGCCCATAACACCAACCTCTACGGCCCAACCAGGAGCACCATCGAAAGGCCGCACAAGCAAACCGAGCGCGAAGGTACTGGAAGCCCGGCAGTCGCTAAGGCCACGAACCGCCACACGACGATCAGCGCAGACCGAAGAGCACACCATCGATGTGCAAGCTACTCAGCAAACCGCCCGTCCAACCACCCAGCCAGCCGCACCGCAGGCACCACAGCATGAACTGTCCCCATCCTCAACGGCAGCAAGGCCTGGTCTTCCTGAACGCGAAGGAGGAGATGATTGTTCTAACGAATTGGGCCGGCTCATTGCTAGTCTCACCCAGACGATAGCACAGCAGAGCCGTATCATCACCAGTCAGAGCAGCATCGTTGAGAGTGTCCGGAATGATCTCGCGGACATCAAGTCGGAACAACAGCGCTTTCAAAATCAGTACGCGGAGCTCCAGGAGGTGGTTTTCTCTCTCCAGGCGTAACTTGGCGTCCTTTGCATCTCCCCCATCCACGCCCCCCCACAGACACAGTCCTGGGCATCGGTTGCGTCCAGCGGAGGAGCGGAAGGGCCAAGGACGACTTCCTCGCGCACGACAAGCGGTGGCAATGCGAACCAGGAACATCGCCAATTAGTGATTGATGTCAGCCGGGTGGAGGAACAGACGGCAGAGAAGGTGACCACGACGGATGCAGCCAAACAAATCATCGAGCAAGGCATGCGAAATGCTGAGAGGCTCACTAGAGCTATAATCAAGAACTTCCGCGTATAACGAGCAAACGACAAGGCAAATGTTATCAAGTTCTCAGTCGAGAAGGACAAAGAGGCTGCTTTTCGGAAAACAGCAGAACAACAGATGAATGGCTGGAACCGCACATCCCAGGTGCGAGGCTGGTTGGACCCAAATGGTATCCAGCCAAGGTAGACTGGATCGAAGTTCTGCTAGCTATGGACGTCGAGAGTGGGAAAGTAAGCAAGTCGGCCAAGGAGCGTTTTGGGACAGAAAATGGAGTAGAGGTGTGCACGATGAGATGGCTTGGCCGACCAAGACCCAGCGGGTAGTAGCGATTTCTACAGCCGTTCGAGGACCAACTCAAGCCGGAACATATTCGATGCATCAGCGTATCTTATCCCCGAGCGCGCTGCCAAGTTGCACAATCAGGTGTTGACCATCTTTGAATCTGCTTCAAAGTCTAGCTCCCAGAAGCCAACTCCTTCGGGGAGCTGGTAAAATTATAGGTGCTGCCTGGTAATTCGTACACTTGGATTGTAACTATGCATTTCGCTTAGTAAGGGGCATAGTCTGAAATGAATTTACTATTACCTCAAGAGCCGTGTAGTCTCGTTGTCATCTCTACATACTCATTGAGCTCATCTACCTCCTCTAAAATGTCACCTCTGAGCTGATGTAGATTAAATATGGAAGTGCGCCGTTGTAGTGGGGGTCCCAGGGTGGACCTCGTTCGGGTTCTAGTGAGAGATGAGGGCCTTGGTGTCGTAACTGGTCACATGGGTGTGAACGTCAATCGATTGCCTATGTGAGAATGTGCTGCCAAAGACTCAATAGTAATCTTCCGTGAGGAAACTAGATGCAGGAGAACTGTACCGTGGATTGATGATGAGGACTATCTAGGAGCCTATGGCTTGCTATATAAGGTGGGTTTGTGACTCTGTGATGAGGCAGAGCTACAGAGTTACAGAACCTGTCATGTGACCCGTCACGTGATCATAGAACTTAGCCCCTGTCCCTGATCTCGTTCTCCTTATCTCTTTTGTTCCTTCGCAGGCATTGTCCTGGAATACTGTTCGGCTATTTGTGCCTTCATCTTTACAATGTGCATTCCATAGATTCCTTTGCGCCTGGCTTTGCCCGGACCAGCACTTCACTCAGCGCCGCAGGATTGAAGGGTTGGAAGAACATTCCTCCGGTCCTTTGCGTCACAATAGAAGTGCCAAGGGAGAGCTTAGGAGTGATAACTAGGATAAAGCTGACAGAAATCAGTTCTCCAATACTTCATTGCGTTGTGCAGTCGTCGTCTAGTTCACTATCTAGCAGATGGCAAAACATATTCTCTGTGATTTAGTTATTGTTTAGGACAATTTCTACAAGTATTAAGAGGTTTAGCAACACGTTCAGAGTCTTAATTACAGAAGATAAGCCTAGATAGAATAGTAGCTCACTAGTCCTAGTAGAATTTATAGCTCTGTTATAGATGCTGCTAGTTAAACTTAAGACAGCAACAATAGCTTTTAGAATTTAAAGTACTCTAATTAGTACATTTGTTTTTATAAAATTACTTAATTTTAATCTAAACCTATATAACGTACTTTACAGGCAAGTTACTTACACACCTAAGTTGCTTACTTTTGCTAAGACCCTACTAAACTACTTTTCTTATACTAATGTATTCTTAATAACACTACTTAGATGTGCTAAAAGAACATTAGATATTGCTTACACTTTAAGCTTTTAAATAAAACATAAAACTTTTAAAGAAACATGCTATAGCTATATATAAAGTTTTTTAAAAAATAATAAATAACTATAGCACTAGATAACTTTTATAAGCTAATTCTATAGCTAACTTATAAAAGCTAAGTAATAACAAGAAGTAGGTAATTATTAAGACTATACTTAAGCTATATGCATAAGAATTTTCCTCTTAGATAGTATTTATAGCTAATATAGCTAATTTTTTATACACTAAGTATAATTTAGGCTATATTAGCATAAACTAGCCTAGTATATTTATAAAGTGTTATTTAAAGCTTAAAGTAAAGTTTAAGTATAACTATAACTATATAAAAGCTTTTTATAAAAATTTTAAAGTAATTGAAAGCTAGTTTAGCCTTATTAAGAATATTAAAGCTAAGTATAGCATCTAAAATAATAATATATATAACTTTAATAAAATAAGCTTTATAATAAGCTAGATAGTTACTAACTATACTTATACTTAAAACTTTACTTTAAGCTTTAGATAACACTTTATAAACATAATTAGCTAGTTTATGCTAATATAGCCTAGATTATACTTAGCATGTAAAGAATTAGCTATATTAGCTATAACTACTAGCTAAAAAAAAATTCTTACCTATATAGCTTAAGTATATGCTTAATAATTACTTACTTTTTATTATTACTTAGCTTTTACAAGTTAGCTATAAAAATAGTTTATAAAAGTTATTTAGTATATTAGTTATTTATTATTTTTAAGAAACTTTATATATAGCTATAGTATATTCTTTTAAAAGTGTTATGTTTTATTTAAATGCCTAAAGTGTAAGCTATATCTAATGTTCTTTTAGCATATCTAAGTAGTGTTATTAGAAATGCATTAGTGTAAAAAGAGTAGTTTAGTAGAGTCTTAGTAAAAGTAAGTAACTTAGGTGTGTAAGCAACTCGCCTGTGTACGTTATACACTTATAGAAAAACATAGTATCTATCTTGTGCTCTAACCTTATTAATTAAAATTATGCTTCCCCTACTAGTTTACTCTCACTTCTGTATCTTCTCTTTCTATAGATCACAGCTCTTTTTTCCTATTAGACTCTCAACTGCATCTGTGCAACATTTCCCCTCTCCTTGCTATTCAGCAACTGCTTCACTGCCTAGCTCCCTCTAATTTTCTAGCTGTTTTGTGCGGAAAATAGGACTTTGCTGTCCGTTGGCGGTCTAGCTTATCTAGTCTGTGCCTCTCTTCGATATTGAGTGAGCATCTCCGTTCCTATGTAGGTTTTCCTCTACTTCCCGCCTTTCCCATAGCTGAACAGTATTTCTGGAATCTCTAACCCTTGCATAGGTTTCACCTATGAACTGGCTTTGATGTCCTTTCCCCCCTCATATGACGCCCATCCCCTTCTTCCCCCTGAGATGTCCATGTCCCCTCCTGTAGCTTTACCGTGCATCGGATTGTGTGATGCGTGAGTCTACATGATCCTTTTTATAGTGGCGGTGTCGCATTACTGCGTTCTAAATCAGCGAGGAGAGAAGTACTAGAGCGAGCTTTCTGCATGGCATAAGCTTGTTTGGATACTAGTCTCCTTGCATGATATGAATCCGCGCTGCCATAAATCTGAATCCTAGGCGTGGTCCTAAGTCAATATATCGGCTTCGGCGTTGCCGACGCTCAGAGAGTTATACCGCAATATCCTTGTTTAAATGAGAGCCTTAAATTCTGAAGTGCATTCCAGCCATTCTGACTGGCATAACTTGTAGGCGGTGTCCAACCCGACACTTTATTTCTGCCAGAATAGAGGGTCTGTGTCGGAAGAAGATTTCCTCTGATTAATCAGCCTCACAGAGGCAATTATTTATCAGGTTTCCTCTTGAAGCATGGGTCACTGATGCGACAAAATAGGAATAGTATATTCTACATACTAGAGTGACTCTCTCTACATCCATTCAGACCAACTTTAATGGTTCTAATTATGCAATACTTTAAAGTAATACCATCCCCACTACCCAAACACTCTTCATATTCGTACAGTCAATTATCACGCCCCAGATTTAGCAGTAATATTTTGCTGACAGAAGCTTGGCGCACTCTTTCTTTGTTACACAACCGCTCGTATAAGCCATACGGTCATACTAGGCCGTTCTTGTCTAACTTTCGTACGAGTTAATCAGCTGTCACCTAATAATCAAATAAGACCATGCAACTAGTAAGGCCATTTAATGCTCAGGTCACTTCAGTCAAAGACGTTGAACAGGGGCGATTATCGGTCGGATGCGATCGGAATGGTCATCCTCTTTAGTATGCCGAGTTCTGATTCACCTGATCTCGTATGCGGCTGGTTTTTTAATGAAGAGCAGGTCGCTACCAATAACGGGAGGGCCCATGAAAGATTGCACCAAAATTTCTTCTCTGTGTTAATTCTACGTACAGAGAACTGAGTAGCATCTGCCCGACCCATATGCGAGTTGAGACGAACCAGTCCATCGTTACTCAAAATCCAGCAGAGAACTTCTCTGTGCAACCGAATTTGGCGGAAAATCGTGATTTTGCTGATGGGCCCAGCAAATTTGACCATCATCATGGCGAGAATTGAGCTTAAAGATGTATTGGGACCTGGTTAAAATTACCTCTTCTGGCCGTTTACTAATCGTAGGGAAACTTCTTGTTCATGCACATTTCCCCCAAGTGGAGCTTGATAACTCGTTCAATAGACTCGAGCACTGATCCATGGTTTCTGAACAGTTCGTCCGTGGAATCGCTAGGAAGTCTGTTATATCCAAATGGGAGACAGGGGGTTCAATTAGGCAGGTCCATTGTTCATGTTGCGTGATCTCACGGCTAGAGGCGTTGAATGTTGGCGAAAAAGGAGTTCTGCAAAGTCCCAACATCGGGTGTAATGGGATCATGGAGGTCGAGCTCGATGGTATAAAGAGGGACCATGCCTACTTCACGAATCGATATCCTCGAAGCATAGCAACACAGTCTGATATTCAATCAAACCCTCCTATTAGTCAATCATCCCCTCGAAAGCAACATGAAGGCCTCAATCATCGCATTCACCCTGAGCGTTCTCGCTCCCCTTGTCTCTTCGGTTGCGCTGCCTGAGTCGGAGTACCCGGCTGGAATTACTGCCACCAAGGTTACTAAGTTCGATTATCCTCGCACCGTCGAGAAAAGAGATGGTCTCGAAAAGCGAGCTAACCACGGCGTCTATCTCTGTCAGTGTTATCCCAAACCAGACCACTGATGCACAACACGCTAATGCGATATTTGCTATACAGGCGTGAATGCAAACTTCCCCCAGGACGGCAGCCTTTGTGTGCATATTGTGGCACCAGCGGGAGTCTGCGGTATGTTCACAGCGCTGGTGTAGCAATGGAGTGCCACTGACACGGCATTTTCTCTGTAGTTCCACTCGGCCTCGACTTGGAGGATAAAGTCTCTTCCGTGGGTCCAGATCAGGGAGCATACTGCCGCTTCTTCTTGTTAGTTCTTTCTAGAAATTCATTGATGTTTTGTATGGGCTGCTAACTTTCTTTCAGTGATCGCGGTTGTGTGGACAATAGTGGATCGCGCCACTTCGATACCGTCTTTCCGGGGGTTCCGGATCTCTCCAGGCTTGGAAATGGAGCATCTAATGATCAAATTAGTAGCTATCAGTGTTGGGATATGTAGATGCTGGTGGAGGAAAGTTTCGGGTGCTCTGTTAATGCTAGAAGGTACTGGACATTCGTACGTTCGCCCTTGCAGACAATCAGCTTGCGGAAGGCTCTTCCGCCAGGGTTCCCTCACAAAAAATTCTGCCAAATGTTTCAATGTCGTTAGTCGTTTTGTGGCTTTTATTCTATAGTGCTGGATAGTCGCTCCTTTCAGAAATAATTCAAGTCCAACATTATCACCGGCATTCTTTACGTTAAGTCCCTTTGTGGAAGCCAGTGTTCGGAATCGGCAGGTAGAGCACGTGCAGGCACTGGCTCAAGCTCCCTCAGGCATAAACCTAAGCCTACTCAGGTAAGGCCTTACCTAAAGGGGTAGTTTCAGGTGCCAAGAGGATGCATTGAGGTACCGAAACTGGTGCCCACACAATAATTTAATACCCGTGTCCTTAGGGAAAATGTCTCAAAGGCTGTAATTATCAAACTTAATTAGAGTGGAGATTTTCATAGTGCTGCTCTAACGATTAGCATACCCCTTTTTAAGCACTTGCAGGTACTGATCACCTGCGGGTAGACCGCCGCCCCTGTCGGTGCCAAGCACTGATGGAAGCCGCAGTCATCCGGAGGCTTGATCCATCACAATCATTGAATAATCACATTCTCCGAAGGGCAGCAGCCAGCCGATCGACATTCGCAGTCGAGGAGTTAAAATCATCAAAAGAATGTGTAATCCGGAAGGCTCTACAATAGGCTACCTAATCAACCTTAGGCTTAGCATCTATTATTACTATATCAATGATATAACTCCTTAGACCCTTAATCTAAAATACATAACTCCTCTTATAACTTATGCCTTCGTAAGGCTATAGTTATAACCCTAGATATCGCTTTAAATATCTATTTAGTTTGATCTGGCCGTCAATTCGCATACCTTAACAAGATCTCTTCCTTTTACTTCTTCACTCTTATCTTAATCTACCACCCCATTAACAATTTAGACTCGATATCGTAAGTGGGCCAGCATTGTATAGTTCGCAATTCCACGATGTCGACTCTAAAGAAGCGCAAGGCCGAACCCAACTTGAACAGGCCTCTAGATGCTAAGAAATTGAAACTTAATCTAGAATTCCAAGCGGTACGTAAAACCCTAGAGTCATTTCAATTTGTTTTGCTCATTTGTATCTTAGGTTAGAGACCTAATTGTAAAAAATCGTCCGGTATCCATCTATAAGGTGAAGCGTAAGCTTGCTATCAAGAAGGAAGCTCATGGGGTAACAAAGCTATAACTCAAAATGGGACAACTCAACGCGAAGGAATACAAGAATATTAAGGATACCCTCACCAAGAGCGTAGAGGTTAGGCTAAAAGCCAAAGGAGACACTAAACGTTCCCTCACCACAGAGAAGGCAAACCATAGCAACACCTACGAGTGCTATCATGCTCTCTACTTAATCTCGTCTCCAGATATGAATAACATGCACAAAAGCAATCCGACCGTGATTAAATAGGTCTTGAGCTCCTTGCATAATAAGTTCGGTTCACGCATCGAGGCTTTAAAGCCATACAGCGAGGACCTTTCTACGACTGAAATACTTAGTGGGACTGGCAAGAAGCAAACTAGCGTAAAGATTAGGCATTTATGTACCTGGGCAATTCTTAAGTCCAGGCTAGGAATGGTATAGTGTCGGTGATAATTACTCTTTTTAAGCAGGGAAAATAAAAGGTCATTACAAAATCCTAACTTACTTGCCCTTAAATCTTCATACTAGAAGCGTCCATCTGAAACAGCGTTAACATACGGTTGCGTCTACGTACCTATTAGCGTTAGAATCTGTCATGTTGCGCGGAGATTTAGAATGTTTCTTAACGCCAGTTAGACTGCTAGTTCATTTCATATTTTCAGTTACAGAGCTCACAAGCTCATGGGTCACCCAGGTATGGAGACGGTCAATCATCTCGAGCAGAGTGTACAAGGGATCAAATACAGGAGCTTGAGCACAAACATGACAAAACTCCGGTGCTCAAAGACTGCCAGGTCTGTGTCGAAACTAAGATAAAGAAGTAGATCAGTTGACGCCCATCACAATCAGCCTCTACGCGTCCATTTCATCGCATTGGCATCGACCTCATTCAACTCTGCCCCACAGGCCAGCGCTGCTACAATGGAGATCTATACGGCCTTCATGCAGTAGATGAGTATACCTGCTCCACCATAAATCGTCCGCCGTACTAGTGCCAGATATACTCCGATTCATGGTGGAGCAGCTGTGTCTCATGCCATTTGGTATACTCATCTACTGTATGAAGGCTGTATAGATCTCCATTGTAGCAGCGCTGGCCTGCGGGGCAGAGTTGAATAAGGTCGATGCCAATGCGATGAAATGGACGCGTAGAGGCTAATTGTGATGGGCGTCAACTAATCTACTTCTTTATCTTAGTTTCGACACAGACCTGGCAGTCTTTGAGCGCCGGAGCTTTGTCATGTTTGTGCTCATGCTCCTGTATTTTGATCCCTTGTACGCTTTCCTCGAGATGATTAACCGTTTCCAGACCTTAAGGCACGAGGAGCTGGATTTTATTGCTAGAGGGCAACTACGGGTTTATATAGTACTAGGTGAACCCGTCATGTGACCTAAGGCCACCACTATCTTTAGGCAGCGTGGTTGAAAGTAGTATCAGGTAACTAGAGCTTTGAGATCTCTGTAACTACAAACATTTCAGATAGGCCAGGCATAATCCTTCAACTCCTCCTTTATCTCTTCGCCGAGCGCACGTCAGCCACTTCTAATAAGGGTAATTCGAGGCTTAAGTAAGTTCTAAGTCTTCCCCCCCTAAAAAAAAAAGAAACACCTCTAACTCTTCAGTCCTCTTACTCCCATACTCACTCTAACAAGCTCCAAAACCCCGCGATAGCACCACCAGCAAAGCGCCTAGCAGAGCCAAACAGGACCGAAGCTCCTAGATGGAAAACCGCAAAGCTCGATCCAGAGTTCCCAAAGGTGCTTTAGCACCATCTCTAGCATTGCAATTCTACTTAATCTTCCTCTCCAGTTAGCAACCTCTTCCAAAAGCATCGACCGAAGACCATGGCCTTAGCCCAGAAAAGACTTGCCACTGAGTAAGAAGGGCAGAACAAGAGGAAGAGACAACTAGGCACTGCGAAAAGCCACTACAAGACAACAGGTTCTAAGTTGAAGACAGTCTAGAACACCCTTTCCGTGAGCAAATCGGAGCTAGTCCGCGCAGAGCAAGAGAAGAGCGTCTGCAAACAACACTTAATACAGAAAAAACAATGCAGAAAGAGACTTGAAATCAGATTCATGAGGAAAAGTGTGTCCGCAGGGGGTCACAGGCGGTCTCCAAGAATACGTGGACTAATTGAGAGCGAGCAAAGATAGGCGCGCCTAGACAGACAAGTGTTTCGAGATTATCTGCGCTCTGATGATGAACAAGGTATCTAAGACATACAAGGGTGCTGGGAAGACTGAGACAGCTGAGGTTGCTAAAAGGCTATTAAAGAGAACTGGGGCTCTCATGTCCGAGGAGGCGATTTACAGAGCCACAACATGTCAATTGAAGGAGCGGTCCAATATGACGAAGACAAACAATGTAGCACATGCTACAGCTGACACAGTGGTTTGGCCTTTCTTTGAAGCTGAGTGTGGTAGTATCCACTGCTTCCGTTGCGATGTGCCGGTTCTTGTGAGGATGGCCAGAAGGGATGACTGTGCCCTAAGACGCTAGGAGAACATATTTTAATCAATCCTTTCTAAAATGTTTCATCTAGCGGTGTTTATCGCATTTCCGCGGGATTTGGCGATCAGCCGAACAGTTTTCAGAGGAATATATCATGAGAAGTCTAAGAACAGGTCTTCAATTCAGACCTAGGTCGGTTGGATTAGTAGTATATTCGTTGAAGGGACGGAATGAGCACTTCATTCTCGGAGTAATATTAAGGAAAAGGGTATACCATTAGCCATTGCCCCAAGTCCAGCCCAACCAAATGGATCCCACCAATTCAATCTTAAACCTTCAAAAGCATCTTAACCGTAGGGATAATATGCTTTGAATCATCCTCCTGCTGCTGAAAACTCTGCTTAAACGCCGCCAAGCCCGCCAAAATCCCACAAATCATCAAGAATAGCGAGATCAACGACCAAATAATACCCCAACACTGAGAAGAGCCTCCGTAGCGCTTGGCGAAGACGCTTGCATCTGACGAGTTGACTTTTCGCAAGATGAGATCGTCACAGATATCCCAAACGCTGTAGAGGGAGGACATAACACCGATGAAGAGCTAGATGTGGCTGTTAGAAGGGAGAGTAGGGGACCGGTTGAGGGTACGTACGACGACGAATCGAAGCGGTTCGGCGTGCTTGATGAACCAACATGCGACAAGCAAACCGACGGCGAGAAGAATGGTGACGATGGTGAGCCAATCCTTTCGCGCCCACCATAGGGTCAACAAAAAGCAGACTCCTAGGGTAATACTCGCGATCTTGCTAGCGACAATATTGAATCCACAGAACGTGAGTAGTGCTCCGACGAGAGAAGATCCGAGGTAGCCGGCAGGAAGAGTAATAGCCTGGATGCCACCTCGCATATGTGTCACGCCGCCCTCATGTGGATCCAAGGAAATAGACTCCACTCGCCCACCAGTACAACACGCCGTGATAGCATGTCCAAATTCATGAAACGCGATGACCAGCATCTGTTCTCTTGGTCAGTCGAATGCCAAGACATATATCAATTTTCGGCCTTCTTGACGAAACTCACCTTAAACGGCCACAACACCCATCGCACATACGGTAGATTCCAAAGCAACGCAATAATAACAACATACGCCGCAATAACCCCCAGCGTCACGCCCTGGGTGTGATTTACTGACAACCCACGACGCGAAAGGTGATGCAGATGCGGCTGCGCTAGTGCGGGGCCGGCTGTGACAAGAGCCCGTCTAGCGAGCTTCGCGAGATCGCGACGATCGGGCAGAGGCACTACCGGAGCCATGTCGATGCCGTTAAAGTAATATGCGTGCTTTAACGAGCGCGTGAAGTGGTTGATGAGATAGTTAGGTTACAGAGAGGCTGAAAGTTGGCAGGAAGATGTTCAATGTTTATCCCTGGCGATCACCAGATCCGTGCGCTGCATTGGCTGGGCTGACGTGTGCGCGTACGAATGACAGCCACTGTTGCTGCGCCACGGGCGTTCTATAGGTTTGGACTATTTTTAGCAGCGACGAGTTTTTGGCTTCCGGATCGCCGCTGGGGTTTCAACCTGCACCTGTTCATCGCATTTCATCAAATTCTTTTCAGATTTTTGCTCAATATGTATTTACAATATGTTCTCGACCATACCCTTCTTTTCTATGGCCTTGATTCGCCCTATTATATTGAAGAACTACCCCAAATTAGCCTCTCATCATGAACGAAGGGCACTTTGACAAGGAAACCTTCCCTACCTACTACTTACACTTATTTATCGTTTCCGGCTTGATCTATGTGGTCCGGATGGGCAGGGGTGAGAGGTACATGAGATGCGCCTCACTATCACGGCTACTCTCAGTGCCCTTCTCGAACCGATCAAGGATCCCTCCATGCCGATACCCCACCCCATCCAGAATTGAAGGTTGTCAATTCTAGTACACAAGATTGCGTGTTCTTATCAGTATATCTAACTGGCACCCATCCGTTTCTTTTCCATGGCTTGAGTATTAGACCGGAGTACATGGCGTCTACATTCTCGAGAGACAGCGACTTGGTCTCAAACAAGAAAACGCCGACTAGGAATACCACGGATCTTACTTAACCCGTTAAATTCTGCTGCAAGAGACGCCTGCTTCGCCTGTGTTCTGAGCGGAACCGTTTCCCCTATAACCACCCATGAGAAAAGGCCCCAGGTCATGGCGAACAATATGATGAGTATGGATGCAGCGATAACCATCACGTGGGCTTGCAGCTCCAGTGGAAGCGAAGATTAATAACCAGGCTTGGCAGACAGCGCCTACAATTAATGGAATTCAGCGGCCCAGGCGCTCAACGATAAAGAAGCCTAAAAAAGTAGTCACCACCTTCACAGCAGATGCGACTGATATAGAGGGGAAACGAAAAACAATTCCGAGTCTGGCAGCGATTCACCTGAGAATGGCAGAGGTTGATTGAGTTCAGCGGAAGGGCGACAGGGTTTGGAAAGTCAGCGAGACGAAAACGGAAGGCTGGATGATGGGCGAAGGCTTTCGAAGAAGTAGTGAACGGAGAGGGGAAAGAGGGTAGGAAATAGAGCCGGGAACGTAGTTAATTTAGACTCGTCTGGAAGTCTTCAGTCCAGTGAAGCGGCGAGGCTTATCCAGCCGCAAGAGAAAATGTCTTCCCGTTCCCTTCGAAAGTGGCTGCACTCGCGAGTGAAAGTCTTCGCATCCCACCTTTTATGTCTAGTAAACCGCAACTACTTTATGCACTTCCTTTGCTTAGTACAAGAGAGTACCTAGCATTGCATTAAAGTTGATAAGATAAGATAGAGCTATGCTGCTTCGTTTACTACTCTAGTTCATTCCTATCTCCTGAGATGGTTTTGTCTTCACCACCTTCTTCATCTTTGCTTTCTTTTCCTTGACTTATTTCTTGAATTTTTCTGTTTTACTTTTTTCCTCTATTTTATCTTCTTGACGACTGTCTTCATGATCACTGTCTTCCTAATCGCCATCTTCCTCATCGCTGTCTTCCTCATCGCTGTCTTCCTTATTGCTGTCTTTTTTATCGCTATCTTTCTCATCGCTATCTTCCTCATCGCTGTCTTCCTCTTCACTGCTTTCCTCCAGAAGCCACAATTCCTCATCCTCCTGGACAACTTCATCAATCTTCCTTCCATTTCGTTCCAATGCTCTGCACCACGCAGCCCAGCATTTGTGATCGTATCGAGCGCTATATGATGGGGTATCTCCCCATTTATCGCGGTGGTGAAGATCAACTCCGGCTTCGATCAATAAGCTGAGCATTTCTTCAAGAACCTCGGGTAACATACGTTCACCCAACCTAATGTTAGAGTACATTGCAGCATGTATGGCGTTGCGCCCGTCTAAATCAGCCGCATCCAAATTCACGCCAAATTCTAGAAGAAGACGAACGGTTGCCAGACTTCTTCCTCCTATCCCCATCACGTGATCAAGTAATGGTGTCCTGCCCCATTTATCGCGTACCTCAAAATCGTAGCCATTTCGTATCAGAAATTCCATCCATGTCCTTACCACCCGTATGTACTTCTCTGGGAAACTTAGTTCTGGATGCCAACATACCGCGTGTAACAGAGATTCGGAGTGAGATGAGTTGAATGTTGTCGTTTTTTCATCGAAGTAAGAGAGCGTCTGGTAAAATAATTCAATAGAAGACATTTCAGAACATAAGCCTTGGATACCGTCCCAGAGTCCATCCAGAGCGTCTAGTTCCCCACTGGCATCTGTTAGCTTTTATTTGACTTGTTTGAAAATACTTACTTCAGGGCCACAGGCCCTACCCCTTGATTGTCAAGATATTGTAGCACCTCCGGACGAATATATCTGGCTGCATACTGTAGGAAACAAGGTCAACAACAAGCAACCTTACTTATAATTAAACTAGTGGTCGTAGAGAACTCACCCGGAGAGATGCGATTTCCCCTGTTTCAGTTCGATCATACGGAGATACAATTCCACTTCGAAAGGCGGCATCAATTTCTTCAAGGGTGCCATTACAAAAAAGTGTCCTGTGTAGACCCAAGTCTTCGACAAGGCGAAAAGCGTTGAGCTGTACGTACAGTCTCGGTTCTGGCCCATAATTCATGGATTTGACGAAACGAGCATCGATTGAGGTGGAACAAATTCCAATAGATGGAATGAACGAAAGGCGCGCTTCATCCATATTGTAGGTAACATTTGGAACGTTAGAAATAAGAGGGACCGTCATATGAAGCTGCCCAGCGGGGGAGCTAGATGAGAAGACCTGATGATCGAAACGAAATCGTCTCCGATGAGCTGTTCCATGATGTCCTATTATCGTTGCTCTTGAATGGCCTTCATCCTCAAAATCATCTCTAGAAATGGGAGCGCCTAGGGGTACACCTGTGTCGGAAAATGGAGTCGACCCTGTAGAATAGTTCCATTGATCAAATGGCATGGCTGTAGAGCCTGGACAGATGGCGGCAGCTTCTTGAGTCGCCGACGATATAAGACTATCGAATTCCGACCGTAGCCAAAATAGATGCTTCGGCGAGATCCTCTCGGCATGACAGGAGGCAACATGAAGAACAGCCCATCGGACATGATCTTTCATAAGGAGGAGGGGAGTTAAAATGGATTCTCGACGTTCCCCAATGAAGTAGATCTCGCGGTTGGTCTTTCTTGCTATGATAGGAGCTTTAGAAAGGGTGGTTCGTGAGTCCTGAAGCTTGGAGATGGCATTCATGACTTTCCGGTGGCCTTCTGTAATAATTCCTCTGGTCTTAGCATGCTCCATTTGATCAATCCGACTGGCTTTGAGTTGGTCTTTCCGTATCAGACCTATCTTTTTGAGTTGCTGCGTTGATTGAAGCCTGATATTTTCTTGCTCTCCCAGCATTTTCTCTTCACCGTCTCTTACTACTGACAGCTCTTGTAGTTGCATACTCATCGTTGATGTGATTCGTTGAAAGTTTTGCTGGACCACATTCTCTAACACCTTCTGGCTAATGGCAGATCGTCTCCTGTTCATAAAATGCAAAAGTCAGCACGAGTGGAGCTAATAAGTGAATGGTGAGTGAATCAACAAACCCTTCAACGAGCGACAGGGACACGCTCAACGTCGACTTCGACCATTCTAACTTTTCTAGTGATTTGCGGACTTTCCGCTCATCAAGGAGCCACTTGACTCTTCCCCACGTTTTATCGACCCCGTTGTGTCTTTTCTCCAAACCTAGTAGATTGTTCAGCTCGCGTTTCAAAGCTCTGACAGACGTATTGAACCCATCAAATGCTTGATTCAATTCAACGGCGGAGAAGGATATCAATGACGCAGGGTCTCGCAGATCGTTTAGGTGGGTTTTCAAGGCATTGACGAGTTGCTTGTTCTCCTTGATACTTATTTGTAGTCTGCTAATTTCATCTGGCGCATCTTTAATCTCGGAAAGGAATCGACAACACTCGATGCTTGCTCGTAACACGAAGTCGGCAACGCCGACAACGGCGAAAGAGCTCGCAGCTATCGAGAGTGGATCTGGCATGGCAATGAACAAGTCGACAGGAATATTGAGCTAGCAGAATCATGAATAAGTTCGCATCGCTACGAAGACTGCGGGTCTGATGTCTGATGTCAAAGTCACAGCCTCGTTTCCTTGGCATAGGCGCCAGGGACGACGGACACGGACACGGCCTGATGCACTACCCCTCTCAACCTCTCGATATTGGCTCTTATTGGCAGATGCAAGGCAGATTTGGGCCTTGGCTTAGTAGGTACACGACTAATGCCGTTGAGCCTCCTTATCGTAACAAGCTTCAAAGTTACACACAAGGAAGAGTTTTCGAACAAAGCGCATATATATAGCCGTACTATTTTATTAAATCCTCAACTATAATAAGACTATCACATGGCGCAAGCGCTAACCTTCAGAGCTACGAGCCTGTTCTAGCGCTCCTTTAATTTATGTCTAGCACTAGCAAACGTATTCTAGGATTGAGAGTTGCTACTGCTAGCCGGGAGAGTGGGGCTAACTGGCTCCCGCTACACCCTTGTGAGTTCAAATTGTGACAGGGAAGTGTACTCTTGCACTATAACAAATTACAGGCCTTAAGTAGTAAGCGAAGGTTTTGAGGCTTTCGTTCACTACATTGCAGCTGCGTTTGAGGGAGAGTCGGATTCTCTAGTGACTATACCACCTTTGATTACAAGTAGTTTAAGGAATCTTGGAATGAAGTTCTACATGGGGAAGAGATAAGTGAAGGTGTAGGTAGACAGGTTCAATATGTATATTATATATTCCCTATAATCAAAGGCGATAAGAGAGGGGCACGGGTAATGCGAGAGCCTAATGTTGGAGTCCGCCTTTCCTTACACCGTGTTGATGTAGTTAGGAAACTTCCGAAGTATAGCATTATCATGTGTTGATGGGAGACAAATGTGGTAACAAACTAATTCAGCACTCACTCGTTACGGCAGCATTGGAAGATGTATATTGCGAAATTGGATCCTAAGCAAGTGCATGGATTCTATCTAACAAACATGTTGCAAGGCGCAAGGGGTCAACCTCCTACCACACACAGCAGAAGAATACATATAGGTCGATAAAAATGCACGCGCGACAATAGAAACAAGTCAGAACGCTACCCTTAATCTCAACAACGAATAAAGATGCGTGAGGTTCGAAAGAAAGAGACCTAGTGGGGGGGAAATGATTGAAGGAGTGTCGGACGAGAAATTCGAAACCAGAAGAAACCAAAATTTAGCGTACCCCTGCCTTTAGCTAGAGCGGTGCAATGAGCGAATGTCTTCATATGAAACACAACAAATGAAAGATTGGGCACTCGAAAGGAAGGGTTTCCGAAGATAGCAGACCGAGCTCCCTTATCATTGGTAGAGAACTATGGGAGAGATTCCAAGCTAGGTTGTCCGAAGATCATCGAAGAAAATGGTGCATTGAAAAAAAGGCCAGAGGCCTAAGAATACCCGGCGATGTTCAAAGAAACCGCTATGGACTATATCGAGATTCATCAAGATAAGCTGGAGGTTCCACGTCGGGAGTATGCCGTTCTCGAGTTGGCAGATAGCTTCTTGCCCAAGCTGGAAGTAATAGGCGAGGCAGTGAGTGACAAATTGTGAACGCTTAGCGAAGACTCCTTTGCAAAGAGGGCAAATAATAGCTCCTGTATCAGCATCATATCCTCTTTCGGAGATCATCGTCTTGTTTAATTTCCTCACGGCCTGGTCGTGGTCACGTATGAGGTGTGATTGCATACCGTCGAGGTAGTGTAAGCTGTTCAAGACAGGCGAGCGGCACCTCGAGAACGGGGAGGAGACGTTGCTATACGGCGTATAAAATTCCCTAGAGTCCAAGTTTAGGAGCTGTTTGTGGAGCTGTTTGTGGAGTGGAGATCCTGTTTGATTTGAAAGCGTGCGATGATGAAATTCCACATTAATTTCGAACAAATCGCGCTCAATCGCATTCTGATGGTATCGGCACCCGGAAACAGGGCAATGGAAAAGAGAGTCACGGTCATGTCCAACCTTATCATGGGCTTTAAGCTTGTCTGGTCTATAGAAACCCCTGAGTCCTTTGCGGTTGCAACTTACAGCAGTGCATTCATATCTTTCACTTCTGGAATGTTTCTTCTCGTGACGCTTCAAGTCTATAGCTCGTTTGAACTTAGTCTTGTTCTTGTAGTTAGGGAAGGAACACTTTAGAAGGTCGATGTTAGATGCCCTGGGAACGGAGAGGCCAGGTCTATGGAAAAACGCTTCTGGTTAGCTCATTATCTGCGCCAGGAGAGCTCAGACTTACTGGATAATCCAAGGGAAGGAGCCACTAATTGCACTACAAGAACCACTATCACTCTGTTGGGAGACCAACAAAGAGAATTGGGCGCAAGTCAGATTCAGCGCGTTCGTGGTAGCTTGACCACGTTCCCTTTCGGAAATCCAGAATCTTGGCTGTGCGATATGGTTCGGTTCATCGGCAAAACCATCACATAGACTGGGGGGGATCACATTCATTCTAGAGTGCTGAAATGGTTCCCCAACCATTCCAGGGAGGCCGGTATGTTGAGGAGGCTCTCGGCTGGATTGACCTGCTTCAAAACTGCCAAGCGGGCTGCTAAGAAGTTGTGGAGCCTGTTGGCTATCGTGCAGGAGCCAAAAGGCAGATGAGGGCGTCTCGTCATTGAGGGCAGTGCGGCCAATCGATACGGGACAAAAGCTAATCAATTGCCCTTTTGTTAGCGCGAAACTTTTTTTTACTCACCCTCCTGCAGGCTCCACGTCAGCCTGCAGATATAAATCCCAATAAGAATCCCAGCCGAAGTGGTCCAATACAGCACTAATGCTTTGCTGCGCGTCGAGAGGGACGTTGTCGCTCATGATCGTGATTGGTGGTCGGCGATGCAGGGTGTTGAAAAGGGCGTTTGAATGACTAGAGGGGCAACGAGGCTGAAAAAATGAAGCGGACGAAATCGATTGGTTAAACAGCGGTTTGAACGTACAGACAGGTGGATTTGAGAAGAGAAATATGGGGGGAAACGGTGGGATAGGAGTGTGGGCGATACGGGAGTTTTATGCTCCAGTGGTGAAGTGTGCAGTCCGTCAGGTGTATATCCTGAAGGCTGCCCTTTCTTCGTAAGGTCCCGTCCTATTCGATATCCCGGCCGTGGAACATGGCACATCCGTATTTCCTCAAGGGTTTCCATCTACGCATGTGTCCATATCTCTTAAGCCTGAGTGTTTTTAGCTGTTAAACGAAGTTGGTCCACCTAGCTAGAGAAGGTAAGGCACACGTGACAGCAGTGCCACAGCTTGATATATTACGATACATGTCAAGTCCACCTATATTCTCCAACTCCAGCGCCAAAGATGCGCCCTACTAATTTCCTGGGGAATCATAAATACAAACCATCTACACAGAGCTAACCCCCCCCTTCTCTCTAACCAACCCTCCCTTCCCATCCCTTGGAATCCTTTTCCACCCCGTCTTAAACCTCTTCTTCGACGGATCGAATCTCGGGAAAGGGTGTGCTTCCGTATTAAGTACGATCTGGTCGAGTGGAAGGATATCATTGGGGCCGAAGAGGAGGTAGAAGTATTTGAGAGTTTCCGCCTTGAACCAAGTTAGTATTATCTTTAAGCTTGCTTGCTTGCTTGCTTGCCTCGGAAATACGTTGGCGATATGGAAGGGGCTACTAACCAGCCAAAAACTCTCCATATTATCCCTGCTCGGTGGTGGGACAACAGTAACGTCATCGATACTTGTGAAACCGCCTCCGTTCTCAATGATCGTGTGCTTCACAAAGCTTTCGAACATGTCCCATCCCCACTCTCTATACATATCTTCGCCCGTGATCCGCCACATATAGAAGAGACTCTCGACGGTCTCCGGTCGTTGCAGGTTATGCGAATCCGCAGGCTTGATGATATAATCCGTTTTCCAGTCTCCATCTTCAACGGAAATATCGCCAAGCGAGGGGAGAATCTCCTGCCGCATCATTTTGGGAGGGTCGTAGATCTCAAAGTGCGTGATTTCAGGGGCAAGGCCAGTGGCAGTGACGCGGTACATGCCCATGCATGTTTTCATAAGTTCGCGCGCAAGCAACATGTCTTCTTCTTGCTGTTTGCCCCAGGTTGGGAGTTTCTTCGCTTCGGTGAGATTCAGGCCGCCGGTTGCGGATAGGGCTATTGTTCCCGGCATGAAGCACACTAGGTGATCCATCTTGGGGTGGAGATGACCATCCAGGCCAGCGGGTCGCTCAGCGAGAACGGTGAAATGGCTGTCCTTGGAGTATGTGATGAGGTGTTTCTTTACACCTGCAAGAGCCTCGTTCCACATATCGAGGTAGATTGGTTCCTGTTTCTGCGTCTGGTAGTACTGTTTGATTAAGTATTCATAGTACGAGTCTCCTCGACTGCCGAGACGAATCTCGCTGCCTCGGAACTCGCCCCTGTCGGCGTAGATAAAGATGGGCACCAAACCGTCCCTAGCGCCGTTGTTGTCAACAACTTTTATGACCTTCTCGGCCTTCTCCCAATAATGAGACTCTCCGGTGAGGTAGGCGAGGTATTTCATCTCCAATTGCAGGCTTGTCGCTTCTGCCGTCGATGAAGCTCCTCCATCTGCGTGAGAAGCTTCGCCTTTCCCCGTCTTCAGAATAACGCTCGCCCACGGCACTCCTGACGGCGATTCATAGGCCCCCATCAACCTGTCTGCAAGATCTGTTGCCTTCTCCAAATAGAGATCTTCCTCATTCGCGCTCTCGGGTTTCATCCCTGGAAGAATTTCTTGTAGATAGTGCGCCGATAACAGACCTCCCAGCATTCTTATCGTAGTCTCAAACGTGTTTACATCCTGTTGTTTATCGTACGATAGGGTTGTAGACACCCACTCCCGAGCATGTTTCAGCTCTTTAGTGAGATTCATCAACATCATTGTATCCAGTGCATCTACGATGATCCAACCGAGACCACCGGGCTCTGCCATGAATCGCCCTTTTTGGGAGACAGGGTGGTATTCGTCGAATCCTGCCATTGTTAGCATCTCCATTTATCCGATCCGTATGCATCAACGTACCCCACCCATGCTCCTGATAGCCCTTCCAACTGAGCAGAAACGCATCCTTCACACTCTCTCTCCTCTTCTCCCAATCGACCTTGCCCTTCTTTGCCCCAGGTAATATACTCCAGCTCCCACTACTCCCACCCCCACTTCCACCTCCAGCCTTCTTTCCCTGCTCCACCCCTTCAGTGGCCGCCCCGCCTAACCACCCAAGCCAATAAAACAGTCCAAACACCACCAACGCCACGAGCCCAATATTTCTCTTCCGCCTCAACCACATCCCGGATCCCCTTTTCGCTCCGTAATTCGCGGGTTTATCCTTATACATTGGCAGGCCTTTCTCGTTTCCCGTAAACTTTCCCCAAACATTATCTTCGAATCTGCGCTGCGCGTTCTCGAAATTGGGCAGGTTCCTAGGCACGGCGAACGACATGTCGAGGTCCTTTATAGCCTGCGTCGAGGCTTCGATAGCGTAGTTATCCGCCGATATTACAGCGTTGCTGGTTTCAACAGCGCGAATTGCGGCGTTTTGCAGGCACAAGAGCGCGGATGGAGCTAGGGGGGTTTCCTACGGAGGGTGAATGTGTCGCGCGAGTATATGCCCACGCTTCTTCAGCGGACGGGCAAGGAAGAGTACCTAAACTATCCACAGCAAGGAAAGAAAATCACAAGAAAGCAAACGATTACTCTTCTATTTAAATGAGAAGTAGAATGGAGGTCGCGGCAAGCTCTCCAAGCGCCAGGTGTTCTTATGGCGAAGCTTGTCGGCTGCACTCCCAAATAATCGACCTTGGCATTGGAACAGGCGACAGGGATAAGCTTCGCTCCTGCACCAGCCTCCTGTGGCTTTCTGACCCACCGTTCAAGATATTCTCTCTCTCTTCCGCACGCGGAAGTTTCGGAACACTAGGCCCCAAAACCCTCTCAGCCCTCTATCTCAACGAACCACGAACCACGAACCACGAACCACAGGCTCCGGTTGTTCCTTCCGTCTTACTTGTTTGTCCGAGCTCAATCCGAGGACGACGCGTATTGTGATCAGCTCAGCCGAACAAGATGTGAATAAATCCCATCTAGAGCCTTTGTGGCTCTGCTTCCTCTATTCCTTTCTGCCTCCCTGCCGAGGAGTAGCCTTATTATTGGCATGGCTGTCGATAGGCTTGATGAAATTCGTTTTCTTTTCTTCGCTTTGTTTTCCTGTCTCCCGCTTTACCATTGCTTTACTCCGGATCGTAAACCAAAGGAAGAGTTCAGCTCCAGGGAACATTTGCACAAGGAAAACAGTCCACTCTCCTCTCCGCTAAAGTCCAAGTCCTCCTCGACCGCAGACCTGTACCGGGAGAACAATTCGCCCTCATTACCGTCAAATTCCAAATCCAGCTCAAGTAATCACCTACACATAGACAAACAACATGCGGACCCCACGCCAGCATGTCAGCACCATCACCCTGAAACATCTGTCCTTCGACCCTGAAACAAACAACCCCCAAACAAGAGATCATCCATGCCCGCGCCTCACCCGCTGGCCAAAGAGACTAAACTGGGCCTTTCCGACTCCTTCAGTCCCTCCGACATAATTGCCTCCCTTCTCATCATACATCGCACCTGCAATGCTCCCCTAGTCCGGCTCGGGTATTTTCGCGATCCTCAATTCCTCCCCGTCGGCCACTACGTTCATTTCGAAGCCGGCGTAATCGGCACACTTGCAGTCACCCATCCTGCTGGCGATGTACACAGGCACCCACATCTCGACTTGCATGCCCATGTCGCCCACTCCTGAGGAAGCCGAAGCCAACCTGCAGAGTGGTATTCCCATCTTGTCGAAACCACACACAGAAACATATTTAGGAAAGGGATATGATTCTTTATTAAGTCTACACCCTTGACTTCTTCGAAGGCTGGTGCTGTATTCCCGGGATTCGCGAACCCGTTATGCTAGCGTAGCATGCACCACCAGGCCCGTTGTGCGCTACCAACCGTACTTCCTCTGCGATGCCACTGAAGAAAAAGTGGATGTCGGAGCCGCAGTATGTACATGCTTCTAATCCGGAGGACTTTGGGTTTGGACATTATATGTACAGTTCCGGCAACACCCTCGTTTGCGGGCTGAAAGACACCCGGAACACTACAAAAGATTGTAAACCTGATGCTGACACATGTTGCCGAAAATACCTAACTTTGGTCTCGGAGGTGAAGATCCTGTTGGTGATCATGATGGATACGAAGCAGGGGGTGGTCAATTGGGCTTGTGGATCTAGATGCGACGGTGCCGATATATTAGAATGATGATGCTGTTTCCTTGTCGCGTTTCTCAGACCTCAAGAAGGCGGACGTTAGGGCGGTACTATTGGATCCAAAGGTACATTTAGATGTTGGCTGAAGGAGTACTTGCTAGCCATAAGAATGTTGTTGCACCGAAACACCTAGAGATCATTAATGTCATCAGTTAATAATATCATCCCTGAGTACAACTCTCTCTAAACCACGTGAAGTGCAGATTTTCCATTCCATGGCTCTCCCTCAAACAGGGAGATGCCATTATGCCAGTCATTTACTGACTGGCGGACTGACTGATTGAGAGAAACAACCCGACGAGACGCCCATCCACCCTTCTTTCCATCATGCATCATCCCTCCATTCTGCTATACCTCGTGTGTAGCCTTCCACATCACCCTCTCCGCTTCGTTTATGACGACCGCTTGCCCTTAGGATTCTTCCCACCGACATCCGTGATCGTAAGCCCTATTCAACACCATTAGCCCGTGTCTTCACACATACCAATCCACCCAACGCCCAATCCCACACTCACACCCTCCAAACCCATTGTGCATCGAAAACGTGCCAGGGAGGCTCCAGGGGTTAACCATACCTGGCGGTAGACTCTGCTTCAGCTTCTCAGCCTTATCGGTATCCTTGAGCACGAGCGTGTAGATGAAGCGGTGGCATCGGACTTTGAACTTGATGTTGTTGGTCTTCTGGTTCTTCTTTATGCGGGCCGCTGTGGAAATTTCGTCAGTTCTCGTGTCCCTAAACCCCAATTCCTAAACAATCCTCCGGCCCCTCAGGATCTCATGGAGATAATGCGCGGAAATTGCAACTTTGCCCAAGCAATTAGAGCGAAACGCACAACCCTCAGTCGAAGTGCAGTCGACCGGGTGGGTTGAGACACGGTGTTGCGAGTGCAGTACGTACATTTAGCATCCTTGCGCCTGCAAATCTCAATGAATTGCTTGATATCGGAGACTTCGGAAGGCATGATGGCGGTCGTGGGAACTGTCTCAACTCGTCGTCTGTCGTGGGTCGTGAATCGTCAACCAGCGACAGGCCAAATTTGTTGTGGTGAGGAAATTCGCTTGCGGATGTGCACGGACCGCTTGAAGGCTGGTGGTGCGCTTGGCTGCATGGGGTGACGACTTTTTGGGTGGCGCAGGCAGCTTTTGGCATGTGGAGTGGCATGTGGAGTGGAAGATGGACAGTTGTTCAAAGCCTGGATTGGATTGTTGCCTTGTGGAAGTGAATATATTGCTATCAACGCACTCCTACATTCTCTCCCTACTCTTAGTTCTCTAGTCGTTACAAAGCTATATTCAACTCGACCTAAAACCTCTATCTTACGACTACCTCTATTCTCGCCGCCAAAACCCAACGTCCAAACACTCCAAAATGCCAACCCCAATCGATCGCGCAACCCATCTGAAGGTTCGTCTTTTATTTATCCCCACCAGAAAAACCAAATCTCATACTAATACTCTAACAGGCTCCCTTCTTCGCCTTCGCGGCGATCATAACCGGAGTAGCTGCATGGAGCATTTGGGGCGGCGATATTTTCCCTTCGCAGGATCCTACTGGTGGTATGCTAATTATTTCCTTGTTTACTGTTATACTATACCCTCAGTTTCACCTACTAAATATCAGCGGTCAAGCCAGTTGTGCATCTCCTTTTCTGTTCTATCTGTGCTTGGGGTTACTCGTGCAGAAAGCAGGTGACCCCATCACCCTGCACCCATATCACTACAACGTCACTCCCACCACGCTCAATCCACTTCCATCCATCTCATTAACCTCCCCTGCAGATCCGGAAAACTGGTCCCACGAAGAATGTTCCCGCTGGCTCCGAAATGTGCGTTCCTCCTCTCCTATCGCACAATTTCAGCTATCCTAACACCAGCAGCGAAACCTCCATCCCTCACCTCTAGCCACGACAGCCGAGTTGCTAGAGCGCGTGAAGGCGAATATGCGGGCTCCACGCTCGTAGTTTTTGGAAGCTCTCAGGAAAGTTCTGATTATCTCTGCGAAGGAGGGCTCTTTGGCCGGCCTCCCCACCTGCACCTACGATATTTTCCCCGAGATCCTTCTCTACACCCTGTGATTCTGTTCTCTTGTAAACCCAGGTTAAGAAATTGATACCCATTCGCACTTTGTAGCTCGCTTAAACAATGTACGCATTCCGACCATAGGTCAGATTATTTGAATAATATGCTGGTGAAGGTGTGGATTTCTGAGGGATGGCATTGAAACCTCAGCCACTGTCCGTCTAAATCTGATACCATACACGCCATTAAACACCTTCATAAGCCCAACCTGCCCCTAGGAGCAAAAGCCGAAGCAGTCAAGAGAAAGAGCATGTTAAGTAAGCTGCTGTGTAGAACCCGGAGAGTCCTGCCACTAGCACACGAAACTAATCTCTGAATTAAAACCGGTCAACCAAAACTGTATCAAGCCCTTCAAGAGGGAATGGAATAAATTGCGGAGTGGAGATCCGCTGGCTTAAAGGAATCGCAGATGAAGAAAAGGGTGTTAGAGTCGCCAAGGGGGTCAATGACCTTCTGGGTCATAGAAACACTGAACCGAACCATGTCCGCCTGCCATGGAAAGATAAGGAAGGGAATTCCAGGGGCTCTAGGTTAGAGTGCTCAGCTTGTGCTAGTGCAATCGTTCCACGGCCGGTGGCTATGCATGCATGTTTGATGAAAACCGAGTCGAGAATACTGCTACACTTCCACAGTCCCACTTTCCCATCGATTGTCGAGATAGAGCTAGAGTCGTGAGAAGTCGTGTAACGTCGCTCCCCATACTCCACCACCCACTCCTGCTTTACGCCCCATCCCCGTCCCATCCTTAGAACCTTCCCATCTCAAACTCCCTCAGCGTCCCCAAACTCTCCCTCAACCTCCTCTCATCCTCCACCTTCCCCCTCTCCTCCTCCTCCATCTCCTTCCTCACCTGTTCCAGCTCCAGCTGAAGCTGCTGTTGATACGGTCCTAGCTTCTGCTCCACCAACGCCTGCTTCTCCGCCAGTTTCTTCCGATCGGATTTCGCCTTGTCGCGCGCCTTCCGAGCTTCGGCGAGTTGCCGCTCCAGGGAGGCGGTTTCTGGGGGGATATTTCTCGACAGGACGGGAGAGGCGTTGATTCGTGGTGCGGGAGTGCGGTAGGAGGTTGACAAGAGTTTTGCGCGTTTGAGGGTTGGGGAGGTTGAGGGCGAGATTTCGGCAGAGGTGTTGCGTTTGGTTGACTGGAGGGTGGGAGTGGCGGTGGAAGGGGTGGGGTTGACAGGAGTTGGACGCTTGAGAATTCTCCTTTTGAGGGGGGATGATGGATGAGCTGGCTTGACGGTGGTTGTATACTCGGTAGAATTTATGTCGGCGTTATTGATGACCTTAGTCCCATTACTGTTTTGCATAACGAAGTTGTCATCCGTGGAATCAATCTCGGCAAGGTCATTGGCAGAGGCGCAATTCGACTTGTTCGCTGTCTCGGTGGTAGCGGCTTTCTGCGAGGGAGGCTCATAAACGGACGTCAAGACTTCCATGCCCCAGCCACATACCTCACCGTCATGCTTATCCTTATCCTTATCCTTACCCTCGTCCTGAATCCCATCACCTGCCTTCAAGCCCGGCTTCGGATCAATAACAGAAGTGGCGCCGACCTGTTCACCTTTATTATCGGCCAGTTCTTCAATCTGGAAATCAGATTGCTTGCTAGAAGCCCGTTTCGCTCCTGTAGTCTTCTCCCCCTTGCCACTAGTATCCTTACCAGCGGAAATCTCGATAGACTCGTCGCCACCCATAGTGCCATTAATGTCGCCGTAGATGTCCACGCTAGGGTGATTTACTAATTGACCCATTGGGGGAGCCATTGGCGCTGTAGATTGAGTCGAGTCTGAGTGAGGGGATCCGGGTAATAGATCTGGCTGGTGCGCTTGATCCTGCTCGGTCGTCTCTACCGGTTCGACAGCTAGGTCAGGAGTCGAAATTTCCTTCAATACCCACTCCTCACTTGAAGACAGTACGGAATTAGAAGGCTTGGCTGGCACTCTATGTGAAGGTCTCATCATGGGCTAGGGAGTTGAGAAGTTAGCTAGAAGAGAGTTGAGGTAGGCGGTGCTTATATTTCCCAGTGGCATGGGGTTGGTGGCGAAAGACAGCAGCGAAAGCAGAGACTGGGAAGTGAAGGAGTGGGGACTTCTTTTCACTTACTGGGCGACCTAGCTTAGCATTTGCACCTTTGGCGGGAGTGTCTGGCCAGTTGTTGCCCGGCGTAGACTGACGGGTCGATCTACCATCATTTTCGGCTTCAGACTTACCGGGTGTGTCTCCAATCTTCAGCAGAGGAACCTCTTCAATGTCGAGTGCCCGAGTCTCGCCTTTGACATTGGTCTCCTCAGAGGTGCTGACGTGGAGATTAGCGTCGAGGATTGACTCTATGAACTCTTGTTAGCAAAACAGCCGTCCAGATCAGGTTAAAAACGTACGAAGCGTCCTATAGTAGTATCGAAACACGGCCCAGGGCTCCTTTCCAGGGCGCTGATCTTTGCACTGCTTAAACTTCTCTCTCGCGCTGCGGCGATTCATGAAAGGAACGTTCTTATCATGCGTGATGCGGAACTGGGGAGCAATCTTGGTATATCCAGCCTCCTCGGTCTCCTCATGACCATCTTCTGGATCATCCGGGTACAAGGCGATGTCACGGAGGGAGTATTCCTGTCCGAATCGGCGCAAGACCGAGATTCGCACTTCGATCATGCCGAAAATCTCCTCCTCACCCTCCACTAGATTGACGTTAGAATCAATCTTAGTGGCCATAATTTCAGTCTCTTTAACCTCCTTGTCGTACTGGAAGCGGAATTTGGTGATATCAGAATGATAGTTCTTCTTCTTGACGGAAGTTGACTTGTCGATCTTGGTTTGGCGAAGAATTCCATCGACCAAGACGTCGTGCTGCAGTTTCATAGTCTACAATAGAGTTAACAATAGTGTGGAACTTCTGACCTTTCAGACTCACTGTGCCGGCAAAGTGTGTGTACAACTTGATCCTCTGGTTGGCTTCGACCGGTACGAAGCAGCAGATAGCGCCATCACCTGCGATGTGTTCGCCATACTCGTCACATGGCGAGACGCCGCCGAGGACCCAGAATTCAACCTCCGCCTTCCGATCTGAGCCCTTCTCATGGACCTTCATATTAGGTGACGTCTGGGGAAAGAACTGCTAAAATAGTCAACTACTTTAAGAATCGTTACAGAGCACCTCATATCAGAGATGTATGTGTAAACTTGTATCCTGGTGGTGCAGAGAACCGCCGAGGGTGTCGGAGAAAATTTGTGGTGTCTCAGAAGGAAGGGTCTAAAAAGTGAGTGTGGCAATGCGTCCACCCTCAATATCAATAATATGGGCCTTGCTTGGAATGATCAAGGTTAATGTCGCCAAGGCAACCACCGCAAGCGTAGGAGCTGCAGTGAGGACTCAGCGAAAGGGGTGATGGTCAGGAAGAGGCCAGAAAAGGCAGACAATGAAGTGAGCGCAAATAGTGAGATAGTCCATGAGGTGAAAATAGGTAGAAAGTTTGATCTAGCCAGCCAGGAAGCATCTCCGCCGTTTTGTGAACAGTAGGTAGGCGGTGTAAAAGAGACAATGGCGAGCGACACTAAGAAGTGAAGTACGCCTAGGTCTTCAGTTATTTAAAGTAGCGGAGCAAATATCGAAGGGCTCATTTGATTAGTTTCCGCCCGTAGAAGTTGACCAATTTCACGAACCAAACATTAAAAGCGTCAACAACACAACTTAGGTTTTGTTAGATAGAGTCGAAATCAACGACGCACACCACTTACTGGACAAACGTATATCCAATCCAACCTCGACGTACCTAATATCACCCAAACTTGTGGCCACTTAGCCAATCCTTGTTTCTCGATCCTCAGCGGCACATGATCACGCAAGTGCTTTCCCCTTCCCCTTCCCCAACAGACCAGCAGCAGCAAAGGCGTTGAACGGGCCCCTGTTGCGCCCGAACACCGGCTTCCCTCCACCTCCAGCCTTCCCCGATACCGGCTGCGTCGGCGCGTCTCTCACAAAGTCGCCCAGCTCATCCTGCGCCCACTCTGTGAAGGTGAAGTTCTGAGTCTGTATCAACCACTGCTTGTCCCATCCTCCCTCAAACGGTATATGCTTGCTTGTCTGTCCCGGCGACAAAGCGAGTTTTGCGGGATTCGGCACCAGCACAAAGCTCTCCGCAAACTCTCGCAACGGACCCTTCAATTGTTCCTCCAGCCGAACCGACCCTGTTACCACGACTATAAATGACATCCTCCTCTCTAGATCGTTACTAGCGTTGCAAGACCCCCCCTGGATATCGTTCGCCGGCAGAAACGTCGGGTTGAGAGTATTCGCGTCTAGGTCCTCGATTTGGAAATGCGTGTACGTTACACCTTGAAAGAAATGCTGCAGCGCGTCGCCGTCTTCATAGGTTTCGCCATTCCAGACAATCGATGGGGTAGCGACGCCATCGGGTGCGACAGCCCTTGGACAGTAGAAGGCCCCGATGCCGTTGCGATTCGTCTTAAGGGTTTCGTAGTAAGCGTCGATGAAGGATTCGGCGGCTGCGAGACCTAGCCGTCAGCGGGGTGTTCGGGACGGTGGGGCAGAGCGGGCCAACCTGCGCAGGCGACGCTGTCGAGTTTGAGTGAGAGGCGTTCTTCGGGAGTCAGTTCAGGTTCCTCCATGGTCATGAATGTTGTGGTGTTTGAAATTTTGTGGTGCTTGAGGGTCATGGCTTGGGAAGGACCCCCCGCCAAGCAGGTAAACACGAAAATGCGCATTCACGTGGGTACGCTCGCAGCACTCGGTTACCCAATGGTGGGAATTCGATGTACTTGAAATTATTTCATTCGGGGCCATATAGCCGAGGAACTACATGCGACCATTGACAGTGATTGCTCCTTCACTTCCCATTCATGCCTCGTCCATCTTCCCTCTCTGTTTTCTTAATCTCCACCCCAGCTCTCTTCTCCCACCCTTTCAAACACTCAGAATGGCAAGCACCCTTATCCACAACTTCCATAGACTCTTCCAAATATTCCAAAGCCAGTTGCGGCAGATCAGAATGAAAACCCGACCTCTCAATCACCTCTTTCGCAATCTTAACATCCTTAACCAGAAGCTCGAGTTGGTAGCCCGAGTCGTAAGATTTGAGATTTTTCATTGAGTTCGCGGTAGAGAAGTTGATGCCTGTTCCTACATTCATGACGTCGATCATAGTTTGGGGGTCGAGGCCGAGCTTTTGGCCGGTGACCTAAGTGTGTTAGATGAGGGATTGGGGGTAGAGGTTGGTTAATTCGGGATATCGTACTAGAGCATCGCATAATGCTATTATACTACCGACGCTGACGTAATTGTTCAATGTCTTCATTGTGTGTCCAGCTCCCAGACCACCCATCGGGAAGACATGTGAGCTCATGTTCTTGAGAATTGGTAATACCTTCTCGAGGGCTTTCGGTGAGTCGGATCCGACCATCAATGTTGCACCTCCGGTATCAATCGCGTGGAGTTTCTCCTGAGTGATTGGGGAATCGACGAGATCCACCGAAAACTTGCTAAGCTCTGCTCCAAGTTCACGGGTATCGAAAGGTGATGACGAGCTGGTATCGATGACAACAGAGCCTAGCAATTACTGAGCGGCTATATTCCTGCAGAAGGGAAAGGGAAACCGTGCCTGGTTTCAAATGGTGAGCAATGCCATGATCTCCTAGCAACACATCTTTGACCACTTTCCCATTCGGCAACATCGTGATAACCACGTCGCAGTCTTTGAAGTCCGCTGCTGCCGAGCTAGCCACCCTGCACTTCGGATACTCTTCAACAAATTTGATGCCTCGGGCTAGATCCGCGTCACGAACGACAAGTCGATATCCCTTCTTGCCAAGGCAAGCTGCCATGGGGTATCCGGCGTTGCCTAGACCGATATAACCAACAGTTGGCAGCTCCATAACGGCATGAAAGAAGATGAGGTCGACAATGAGGAATGTAGGAGGCCTTGATATAGGTGTACACCGGGCGGGGCTAATTCCGCATTACCCCACGATCGACAACTGCCGTGACCTGGGGTTACTCCAACTCCAATGGAGAGGTATCGCAGACCCAAATACCAGATGGGAAGCACTCTTACGAATTCCCGGGTAGCGGCAGGTTCTAGAAGAGGCATATTTTGCTATTGGGTGGTATCTGTACAAGAAAAGACTACGATGCCAAGAGATGGCTGGAACTTTGGCATCAAAAGAGGTAAAGACAGTTGAATGATGTCATTGAAAATTGTTTGACTTGCATCTTTCTGGACAGCTAAAAAGATCATTTAACAGTTGAAGATAAAAATGAAATAGAAAGCGACCGGGAGAAGATAGAAAGGAGGGCCGAGGGGATAGAGGCTTTTCGACTATAGGTACTATCGAGCTCCTTACTAAATCCATCAAGCACACCCGTCAGTTTGGCTTTGGTCTGATGGAATTTGCGAATGCCACAAAAGCGATCAACAGGCTGGCAAGCAAGACGTCAACGGAATTCACGGGGAGAAGAAGGCAAGATGCGTGCGTACGAATCAAGCAGAACTCCAGGAAAGACACTCTCGAAGTCGAGTGGACACATAGCAGCAATACAGACGATTGAGAAAGTGAGTGCAATTTGGCAGAAAATTTTTTGCTCCAGAAATTGAGGTAGGTTCGCGACGCAAGGTGGAATAAGCTTCGGAGAATGACCAGATTGGCATGGTGCCGTGCCGTCATGGTGCCAAGGACCGGCTTTGCTTTTTCGGCAACGACCTCAGCTGCTAACTTGTTTTCTCTGCCTCAAATCCCTCACAACCGACACGTCCGCTCTGCCGCTCACCACCACCATGCTGTCGATGAGCTCCCAGAAGACGGCGCAGGTAAGGCCCTATCTTTGCGCTCCCAATTGAGCCTCCAACGAGGGCAGTCCATGAGCTAACGCGTCGACATCGTCTAGACCCTCCTGCGGGGCGCCAGGCCTGTCTCACGATGGGCTACTGGCCCTTCCATGGCCACACGGTGTATGCTCGCCCCCCCCCCTCTATAGCTCCCCATACGGCGGCAGACTGCCCGGGTTTCTGACTTGTCTACAGCAATGGCGACGGTCCAGCAGGACATCTTCAAGCCCACAAAGTTCGGCGGCAAATACACCGTTACCCTGATTCCTGGTACGCAGCGATAAGCGCCTACAGCTATGACTTGGTATTGAACACACGGCAGGTGACGGTATCGGTGCCGAGGTGTCCAATTCCGTCCGCGATATCTTTAAGGCCGACAATGTGCCGGTCGAGTGGGAGCAGGTCGATGTGTCTGGTATGGAGACCGGGTCCAAGCACTCCGAGGAGCTCTTCCGCGAATCTATTGCCTCCCTCAAGCGCAACAAGCTGGGTCTGAAGGGTATCTTGCACACCCCCGTCGAGCGCTCCGGCCACCAGTCCTTCAACGTCGCCCTTCGCCAGGAACTCGACATCTATGCCTCCATCGTTCTTATCAAGAATATCCCCGGCTACGAGACGCGCCACAAGAACATCGACCTCTGCATTATCCGAGAAAACACTGAGGGTGAATACTCAGGCCTGGAACACCAGTCTGTGAGTGGAGTGGTCGAGTCCCTCAAGATCATCACCCGCGCCAAGTCAGAGCGTATCGCCAAATTTGCCTTCGCTTTCGCTTTGGCCAATGCCAGGAAGAAGGTTACCTGCATTCACAAGGCAAACATTATGAAGCTCGCTGATGGTCTCTTCCGCAACACCTTCAAGAAAGTCGCCGAGGAATATCCAACTCTGGAAACCAATGACATGATTGTCGATAACGCCTCCATGCAGTGCGTGTCGAGACCGCAGCAGTTCGACGTCATGGTCATGCCCAATCTTTACGGCGGTATCCTTTCTAACATTGGTGCTGGTCTGGTCGGTGGACCTGGTATTGTTCCTGGGTGCAACATGGGCCGCAACGTCGCCGTTTTCGAACCCGGATGTCGTCACGTCGGCCTAGACATCAAGGGCAAGGATCAAGCCAACCCTACTGCATTGATCCTTTCCGCTGCCATGCTCCTGCGACACATTGGCCTGGATGACCATGCCAACCGAATTTCGCAATCCGTCTACAAGGTCATCGCGGACGGCAAGGTCCGCACTCGAGACATGGGTGGTAGCTCCACAACTCACGAATTTACGAGGGCAATTTTAGACCAGATGGAAAAGGTATGAATTTCTTAGGTGCGCTTTGAATACTTGGAAGTTGCGGTCTTTGGTCTTTCAATGGTTTGATAGGTTGTGTTTGTACAACTACTTCGGCTAGATGTGGTTAGAGCTGTACTTTTAGTGGTATAGAGCATGCATAAATGGACCTTCCTATACCTTATGAACGCCGGATCAACACCTCGCTATGCATGCATACCGTCGTAATCATGAATCCCAAGATAGGCAAGGGGATCAGAAAGCAATTCTCCTCTTCCTCCCCGTATACTTCGAATTCGCCTTCACCACCTTTCCCTTCCTCTCCATCTGCTCCTTCTTCCTAATAATCCACTTCTTACTCCCCTGTATCTCCTCCCCTCTCTTCCTCCCCTTCACCTTCCTCCGCTGATCCATAACATCCACGCCCTCCATCCCCCTCACCACCCCCGTAATATCCCCATCCAACTCCCCCCCGCCAACCGTCAGCACGAGATATGTTTTCGCATTCTTCGTGCCCGGATCATCTTCCAGCAACCCCGCGCCAAAACCGGCGCGCACCGCCGCCGAACTCACCATGGTCTTCTGCGTGTCGTTCTTGGGGTAGAACTGACACACGGCCCGTCCGCCGCGGCGTAAACTAGCGTACAGGCCGTTGAAGAAGCGGGAGAGACGGCCAGAGGCGGACTCGGAGGACGATTCGGCGTTGCAGAGCCATTGGATTGCGGAGATTGAGATGGCGGCGTCGAATGTGCCTGCGCGGAACGGAACGCCCTGGCCCGCATCCGCCAGAAATAAATCCCCCTCCACCTCCTTTTCTAATGCTATCCCGAGCATGCTGCTGCTGATGTCCAAGCCGATCCAGATGTGGGGGCCACCGGGCGTGCCGGCAGAGGAGGGGGCGGAAAGGATTTCGCCCGAGAGTCCGGAGCCGCAGCCAATATCAAGGAGGAGGGAGGGGGATTTTAGTTGGAGGAGTTGGAGGGCGCGGTGGGTCATGGAGGATTGGATTTTTTGGATTCGGGATGAGGTGGTGTATTTAAGGGCTTCGGTGTCGTTGTAGAAAAGGTCGGGGGGAAGGGTATTTTCGGGGCGGGACATTTTGGTGGTAGGGTTGAGGAGTGTGAGGGATGGTTGGATAGTAGGAGTGGTTGAAGGGGAATTTGAACGGTGAAACAAACGTTTTTATCGGTTGAATCGAAGTGAAAAATGCCAAGATTTCGAGAACCAAATTACTAATCCTCTTCAATGTTGGAGCTGCGGTCGGAACGGCGAAAGCTTTTTCCGAATTAACAACGTTATACCGCGCTGACCATCCTTTGATCACATGCGATGCATCCGTTAACGCCTCTCGCGTTAAAAAACCACAATCTAGCGAGCGAGCCTGCGCTTTGCCTCTCTTCCTTCGTAGCCACCGTACAGTACACCCTCATCCATCAACAGTGTGCCCGACACTAAGTCCAGCCGGATTCTAATTCCTAGCCATATTAATCCCTACTAGCGAACAGTAGCTTCGACCTTGGACGGTGAGAGACAGCAGAGACAATAGTTCCCTCTTGCTTTTGCTGAGTCGTAGCTCGATATTTGCAAGCCTCTTATGGCATCTTCCGTGGTTAAGGTCGAAGGCTGAAGTCTGGCTGAATTGCCAGCAGATACTAGTGACGAACATGAAGCGAATCGTTGACCTCGTGCAAAGCCTGCCGCAACGCCCTTTAGAGGCGGAGCGTTGTTGGTGCGCCTAAGGATTATCCCGCTAACATTACCTGTCCCGAGACTTGTCCATACCCTTTGCTTCCTTTCAACCTTCTTCAACTGTTCGAAAAGTTCCTCTTCCTTAACGCCGATCTCATCTACGGCCTTGGTATGTCAGACTACTAGCCAGTACGAACGGGTTTCGCAATGAATCAACTTAAGTATGACCCATCCAACCAATATGTCATTGTGACATTAACAAATCGCTGTCTAGACCGGTCCTGAATGAACGTCATGTCAACATGATGTCGTTCTCTCAGTGTATTGGAATTGGGCTGTTCCTGCAGAATGGGCGTACCCTTTTCCTCGCAGGACCTGGCCTTGCAACTTTGGCTTACTTTCTTGCCGGCACCGTGATGTGGTCGAGTGCTGCATGTCTTGGAGAAATGACAGCACTCTTTCCTGTTAAAGGTCCCATCTTCGAGCTTCCTCGAAGGTTCTTAGATGAATCTCTAGGGTATGCTGCTGGGTGGATTACGTGGTACGCAATTTCCCCTAACTTTTCTGGCCGCTGTTCTGATGAGCCAACTGGTTTTCTTGGATCGTCCTGATAGCTGCTGAGCTAGTCGCTATAACACACATCTTCCAATTCAAATACCCACCGGAACAGCTCATCGCCGACGGATACCCCGATGCAGCCCTTGAGTGGATGCCGCACATATCCCCGACCGTCATCGTAATGATATTCCTCTGCATCTTGTTGCTTATTAACCTCCTCCCAGTCCGGCATTTTGGACAGCTCGAGTATGCGTTCGGTGTGATCAAACTGAGCTTCATCGTTCTTATGATCGTACTCAACACAATACTGCACTCATGGCAACGTGTCGATCGAGGGGGCCATTTCTGGACATACAGGGCCCCTTACTCTGCTGGATCGCAAAACATTACGCTACCTAATGGACATGTAGTGGAAGGATTCGCAGGAAAGCTGGGCGGTATGTGGGAAGCGATGCTAACGTGTCTATTTGGAATGATTGGGTTCGAGACAGTAGCCATCACCGCTGCAGAGAACCGAGATCTGCGGTCTGAAGAGACAGTAAAGCTTGCCACTAGGAAAATGTCACTGCGGATCATCACTCTATATACCCTCGCAACGTTTACCGTTGGTCTCAACGTACCATACACGCACCCACTAATCAAAGATACAAACGTCATCAGCTTTGGTTATGGAGAGAACTCGGCCTTTGTCATCTCTACAGTCTTGAACCATCTGCGGGTCTGGCCGTACTTTATCAACGGGTTCATTATTTTTTCGGCTTCTACGGCTGGCGCAAATGGAATCTACAATGCTTCGCGGACTTTACACGCGCTGGCGAGCGTCCAAGATGCTTGGCCCGACTGGGCTCCGATTCAGGCGGTCAGAAGGAGGCTCGAAAGGACATATTATGGTGTTCCACTTGGCGCAGTCTTGTTCAGCTGGGCCTTTGGGATGCTAGGCTTTCTTGGAAGCAACACCAATTCTGCACTCGTACGTATTCTGTGTCAGAAACTTCTATTTCTGCTCACCAGAAGACATAGATTCTCGGGCGTATGGTACGGTGCGTAGTTATATCCATGCTGACAGTATATGGAATAATCGCCTGGTCCTTTCTTGAGTTTTATAAAATGTGTGTTGATACCCAAAGCCAAACACAGTTTTCTAACTAAACGCATTCTAGTATCAAGCAAGCTGCAAGTGGTGACGACGAAACGATCGATGACAAAGACGACCCATCTACTCGGCAGCGTTACGACCGTAACTGCCCTCAGTATCCCTACAAATCGCACGGCCAATGGATGCGGGCCTGTTATGCCTTCACTGCCTGTACGCTTTTCATCCTCTTCAATGGATGGCGTACATTCATTTCACCGATGAAGACAGCAGACTTCATTGCATGTTATATTCCTGTAAGTTTGCTGCCTCGATTAGCTGGATCCCAAGTTTAGCTAACATGCCTCAGATTGTTTTGTTTTGTTTTATATCAATCTGCTATCAAATTAAATTGAACGGGTGGAATCCGATGCAATGGCGGCGCCGTGCGTCGCGAGAATTGCAGAATCCACCTCCTCAGATTGCTACTAGCTTGCCACGGCGGGGCCATATTGCGCTCAATGATCCTGATAATCTCTTCACGACCGCGAATTTTCGTAGCTTCTTTCAGTGGGTCTGGGTTTGGATGAAATGATCAAGCTTGGTGGGAAATGGTTAGTGCGGCTATTTCAGGCGCAGGATGCAAGCGATCGAGTCTTGGAGCGCATGGAAAAAAATAGCCGAATGGCTTTTTCAATAGCAAATATGTGGCGGTTCAGCTCGAGACTATTGTGCTTTTCCGGAAAACCATCGATACTGTGACACATCTGCCTTGCATCAGCTTGTGTGTGACCTATCACCGAGAACGCATATTTTCTGAGCACAACCAATCCCCTTCGAGCCGTATCAACCGTCATTCATCAGCCACAACCACTGCATGTGACCGTTTTCATCCCTTACGTGGTAGCTGCGGTCAACAGTTTTACCAGCACATTCCCAACCGTTGACCGGGCTGTCCTATGCAACCTGAACTAGCTTACTGAAACAACGTTTCGCCACTTCAATATATCGTTGGCTGTTAATGCTATGGATCCCGCTCTAAGACCCCATCGAGCCGAGAACCTGCGCCGTGGATTACCTCGAAGATCTATGTCACCAAAGAGCCAATTTACAGCACCTCATACCTCCTGTCCCCTCTACCAGCCAGCCACCGAGAAGTCCCCCTCACAGATTCGAGGCCTTGAATCGGAGGGGCTTATTCCTGTCGATGCAGAAGAATCAGCACTATTGTTCGTAGTAGATTGCCCGAGCCTTCATGTTGTCAAAGGCAATTCGTTACCATTTGAAGCGAAACAATGTTCCGTCTTCGCCGATGTCAGCTGCCCTAGGTCAACCCAACATCGCTATGTGGAACCTTTTGACTGACGAGATACATAGCCTAATCTATTCATATTAGAATCTTCAGCTGTATGTCCTAAATGTCCAGTAAAGCAGGGCATATTTCACAGGGCGCGAAGGATACTTGAATCTGAAAACCAGGCGCCAACGATCTTTCTTAGGAATAGATATTCGCCCTTTTCTTCTTCTTCTTCTTCTCCTTCCCCTCCCATTCCGCCCGTGTTTCCTGAATCACGATTATCACTGCTCGCCGGATCACCGCCACCTAGAAGTCGGAGTCCTGACCTACCAGAGCCTGTATTTCCAGAAGGACCACCGCAAACTCGGGGCACCGCATCCTCGCGACGTTCAGGAAATAGTGTAGCATCATCTCTCAGCAGGTTTAAGTGGCTGATACCAAGCTCTTCGAGTACCCCGCCTAGGAGCCATAGAGGCGCGACTCTCCCTGCCTCTCTATCATTCGCATTCTCCGCATCAGGGAAATGCCTGCTGCTATGGGACAAGAATGCGGACCACATCGTTCACATAGAGACTGCGACTCGGCGTAGCTCACGGCTAAGTCTGTCCACTACTCTCCCATACAAGACGGATGAGAGGCTTGCGGCCAAATTAGTAGCGAGTGGTGAACAGCGTTGCGTTGCTGTTGTGTCGCATAGACAGGTCCGGTATCAAATCATCCACAGCCACTAATAAAGTTCTAACATCATCTCAGAGACATTTTCTCGCCTCGTTGGCTACCAAACCTCCTCACCCACAACCCCCACTGCAACCGCTCCCGGAGGAGCTGAACCCCCTCAGCATAGCAGTGTCGCGGGATGACAGACTTGCTGTAGTTGGTCTGGGCCCCAAAGTCTATCTATACGAGTTCGGAGATGCACTGCAAGTCTGGACTAGCATCCTGTCAATAGATGGGTTTCAGACCTGTCAAGAAGTGCGGTTTCAGGCTGTGAATTTCTCAGCTGATAATCGGGCGCTCGTTGTGTCGACGCAACGGTACGATGCCAAGCGCACGAGCGAGGACGATACTGTGACAACTTACGTGTGGCCGTTCAACCAAATGAATATGACCTATGAGAAGCTTGTAAGCTGTAAGATGCCTACAGTAAGTGCTTGAACCCCTTTCTATGCCCCCCAACTGTCAGTGAAGATGATAGCTAACATCTGCCACCAGAATGAACGCGGTCTCTCCTCAATCTTCTACAACCCTACCCTAGCCCTTGGCTTCGTAACCGGCTTCACCGAATCCTCATACCCACTCTTCCTCGGGACCCACACCACAGCCACAGCCAACTGGACATCCCTCCCCGCAAAACTCAACTACAAAATCCGCTGTGCGGCAGAAGCGCCTTCCCTCTCCCATTCCATCCTCTTCCTTAACAGCAAAAACGAAGTCTACAAAGCAGATCTACGGACACGCACAGTGGGGTTTTGGAGCGATTTGAGTAAAGACCGGGGGAGATTGGATCCGAGGGAGGAGAGTGCGGCGATAAGTTGTCCGGATGGGGAAAGGGTGCATGTATTTTGGAGGAAGGGGGATGGGCTATGGTTGGTGGAGTGTTTGGAGGGAAACAGGGTAGTTAGTAGGCAGAATTTGAAGTGGCTGTGGGATGAGGTTATGGAAGGGGTGTAGATGGGAGTGAAGCGTTGGGGATAAGCAGGTGGTGGGGTACATGTACGAAAGCGATGGCGAGGGTGTGTAACAGTCCTATTTTAAGATGCATGAGGGAGTTAAGTGGCTTGAGGCTTTCAGGGAGACAGACTTGGAGAGTGTCGCCAAGACATAGGTACCCCACAGCGGGGCCGGCCCAACCTTTCCCCGAACCAAGGACACTTCGACGTTCCGACACGTCCTCCTTCGCATTCCTCCAGTCTTCTGTATCACACTTCACAACATGTGGATACTACCTCTTGTCGGTTACATAGGCATTATCCTCGGTTTTGCCTTCCTCACACTAGCCATAGGTGCTCTCAATCCAACCATCTTCACCGTAATTCATACTGACCACATATGCCGCTAGCCTCCGGCCTATACTACCTCTCGGAGCTCGTCGAAGAGCACACCGTCCTCGCAAAGAAACTCCTCACGCGCCTTATATACGGCATCATTGCGCTCCAGCTCTTCCTACTCTTCGATGGCTTCCCGCCAGGCTTGAGCGCATTGAGTATTGTGTCGCACGGCATATACGCGCAGAACCTCCGCAGATTCCCAATCGTGAAGTTGACGGATCCGCTGTTTCTGCTATCTTGCGGTACACGCGCCTCACCCCTAATTCTATCCGGGTTATCTATACTAATAATAGTTGGGGTAGGTCTCGTCATCGCTAATCACTACCTCTGGTTCCGCCACTTCTCCGCCCCACCCCCGCAATCCCGGTCCTCATACCCGTACGCCCGTGACCCCTCCATCCCGACGTTCACGGAAATTGCATCCTACTTCGGACTCTGCGTGTGGTTAGTGCCATTCGCGCTCTTCGTCTCTCTATCTGCGGGCGAGAATGTACTGCCGACTATGGGCTCGGAGTATGCGACGGGTGAAGGAAGCAGTTTCATAAGCCCGGGGAAAGAGCCGGCTGGGGTGGGAGCGGGAGTGTCGTCTGGAATGTTGGGGGGGTCGGGTAGAAAGAGGCAGAGGAGTGGAACGAATGCGGGGATGGCAAAGGCGATGGTGAATGGGGTGAGAGAGTGGGTTGGGGAGACTGGCGAGGTTATGGGGTTTTGGAAGGGGGAGAGGACGAGGCATACTTTTTAGTAGGGTTGGTAGTTTCTTTGAAAATTTGGTTTTTTCTTCTTGCTGTGTGAAGAGTCATTTGAACAGCGGGGATTGAAGGCCTACACCTTGTTGACTAAACCGCATGCCATCTCGAATAATCGCCGACTCCACAAAGACGTTGCAAAACTCCACGCATTCACTGTCATCACCCATAAGCACTTCCCTCCCCCCCTTCACAACCACTATACTTTTCGCATATAATACCACATTTTCGTCTCCGTGCGGTTTTTCGGCCCGGAAACCAACATGCGACCGCCCACTCCAAGCCGCCTTGATGACTCTTCCACCCCGCGGAAATATTGCACGACGGGAATTGATTGAAAATCTTCTGTACGTAGAGCTAAGGGAAATGGCCAGTCCATCGTGTCACAAAAAGCCAACCAATTCCGCGACAAGTTCCCATTCATTGGATTTCATGCATTTTGGACAAGTTTACTCCAATGCCAGTATTGCTACCCAGCACCTCATAACTAAACCTCGGCCACGACTTCGCCATCAAGAGCCAAATCTTCGGGTGGAACGTCCACTCTGCATGGGCTGTCCAGGACTGCAAGGTATTGCGGCAGTATATTTACACAGGAAGGATGCTAAAGACTCCCCCTTCGCTCTAGGACGCTGAGCTTGTTATATCAACACAATAACGAGACTGTCTCTCGACTCAACTGGCGCTGATCTAGAAACAATCTCTGTTGGTCACGAATGCGAATATGTATCGCTTAATCAATCACCCTGCTCCACTACCCCGTGTTTATCGACGCCTCGTCACACACACACACTATTTCTCTCTCTTTGGAGCGTCTACCTACACGCTCAGCCGCTCGTCGGGAGCGACGGCGCAGAAAAGGGGGGCGTTGGATGGTAGAGGTGGGGGTTGTATTGAGAAGGGGGAAAGAAGAGGAGGTTGGGGGAGTCTGATTGGGGGTACAGGTAAGGGTCTAGAGGACCTGAGGGTAGAGATTGAGTACAGTGCTTTGGATACTGAGGGGTTGGTTGGGGATTGAATAGGCTCTCCGGGAGAGAGGATTACGCAACTGGCTTGACGGTATGAGATGCTTGCTGGAATGCATGAAACAGCTTAATCAATATGCCTCTCTGCCAATAACCTGTTATTATATGTTGCTAATATACTAATACACACAAGCAAGTGGACAACACACCTTCCTCGCCCCATACACCTTTGACTCACTTGAAATCAAACGCCCCAATCTCCCTCACCCCCTCCTTCTCTTTTCCCTTCACACTCAACGAGCTGCCTCCACTGCTCTGTCTCACAATCCCCGCAGCTTCAACATCGCCCCCTCCCCTCCGCGAAAACAAGTCATCTGGGAATGGAAACAAGGTTCTACGTCTAGGTGGACTCTTTTCCACTGCCGACATCCACACTAAAGTCGTGATGTCTTTCCCCAACGCTTCAACAATCGGTGTGACTATCGGTAGAATAAGAAAGAGTAAGACGTAGGAGGTAATACCGACAATGGTGACGTTGGTACCGTAAGTGAAATTCCGGTCGGCAAGGAATATCATAAGCCAGCTCCCCCAAGACCAGAAAACAAGGCCGTGCAGGAGGTATATTGTGAAAATATGCGGGAAAAGGACAAGGAGAAAGCGTAAAGAAAGGACACTTTGGACCGCGGGTGAGATCTCGACAATAGCTTGCATACCGACTGCAAACAGCAATCCGTTGAATCGGGGCACATAGTACGCTGGATAACCCGCGTTCTCTGTGTTCCAGATGGCCTCACCCGTGGAATCGTCAGGATGGATGTTGTTTTCGTAAATGACGAAGTTAAAGTCTGACCAGTTTGGAATCATATTTGCGGCAAAGCCAGCGATAACGCAGAGCCAGCAGAATGTTAGGAAAGGGAAGTATGCTAGAGGCCGTTTGTGGAGCCAGTCTTTGTACTTGTAGGTGATGTCGATATCAGCAAGAAGGAGCCCGAACCAGAGATATGAGCCCCAGGATACTGCATACCAATGATTGATGATACAGAATGTGTAGTAGGCCATGCGCTTCCAGGGTGTTTTTATCTCGTAGACAACGATGACGCCTGTGAGAACGAGCCATGAGCCTTGAAGCTGGACGGCGATTGTCCACAACACACCCGTGCAGTAATTGAATGTAATTTGTGGAACGGCGTTAGGAATCAGGTAGACTAGCTCAAGGATCTCTGAGATGAAGTGCCCAATAGTGGGGAAACGAGTTACGTAAGGCCAATTAGACCAAGTAACCGAAGGAATATAACGAAGATACGTCGTCGCACCGCAGTCAACAAGAAAGTACTCCAGCAATGCCATGGCGGTCACAGGAATCATGAGACGAGGTGTTCGTCGTACAGCCCCTTTTGCAATGTCCTGCAAATTCCCCCTCTTCAGGTACCCAGCAACGAGAAAGCGAACAGAGGTCGTGAAAAAGACTCCTAGCCACATTTGATTGAGAACGAAGGGGGATACAATCTTCCGGGCCCAGTATTCAGATTCGTAGTGTTGTGGTGCGCCAGGAATGATGATAGCAGGAACGAAGGTGAGGGCAAAATGCATGACTGTAACGAGAATAGCGCACAGAGCGACAAGACCTGCGAGGTAGTCGATACGTTGGTGCGGTGGAGGTGGGTGAGATGTCATGCGAGGAGCAGGAAGTGCAGACTGCGTTACAGTCTCCATAGGAATTTTGTCGTCCGGCCCTGGAACTTGGATGACTGGCAGTGTTTTCTCAGAGGCATGCCTCGACATTGTCTTCCGATCTTTTCCAACTCGTGGGGTGGTTGGCGAAGGAAACTCCTCGGTAGTCAAATTAAAATTGCTTGAATAAGGAGAAAGGACATGCGGTGTTGTTCCACGGCTGTCAAATCGAACCGAACCGGAACGAGAACAGTAGCCATGGGTGGAGCAACCATAAACGGAAGTCCCAGGACTCGGTTCGGCTCTTTCAATGGTGAGGCTATTCTTGGATTCGTGACTATACTCAGAAGATGGACGGCACGACACAGATGAGTTTTGGACCGAGTTGTTGCGAGTTGAAGGGACACTGTATTCTAGGGTTTCAAACGGATTAGGTTCAGTGCTCTCGGCGGGAGCTACCGATGACGCATGCCTATGTCCGTTTGACGGAGCTTGCTTCCGCCATGGTGCGCGACGAATGAACGCGTGGACCAGCAAAAGAGAAGAGAATCCAATGCAGATGACTGATATCCAAAGAGCAGGCATTCTCTTAACGCTTTTGTTGCTTTTTTGCTTCCACTTCTTGGTTGCCGGCTCAGAATACGGGGTGGAGCCCCGGAGAGAAATATCCTCCATTGAGCATGCTTCAGTAAGAGTACAGCGCGCCACAAATTCCTCGCGTCCTTTGTCGGTCATCGATGAGGAGTTGAAGAACATGCGAATCCATCCAATATTCGCAACTGATCGCTGCGCTGGTGGACCCTCCATCGAGTATTTGTCTCCAGTCGCCCAGTGCTTGAAGTAGAATGGCGAAGGTACAGATGGCATGTGTGGGTTCTTCTTGTGCAAGACTGATCGCGTAAGGTTTCCCCCAATATAGAAATTAATGAAGTCTTCCGTCCAGTCGATCCGATACTCGGTGTAGTTCCACGGGTTGACCTTGCTGTTGCCAAGGGTCTCAGCAAGGACCGTGTAGTTTCGGTTGGCAGTACTCTCGTTAATCGCCGTGCTGAAGTTGATGCCAAGGTCGCGAGTGGTGAATTCATTGTTGACAAAGGTCCCAATCCATGCATTAGAAGGATCATCCGTGTTCATGACGCTAAGCTCAGTGATCTCAGTATCGTTGTACTGCCATATCATGGACATAGCGCTCCCACGAGCTCTGTTACTAGGCGCTTTTATGAGAGTGCGGAAGGAGCCATACTGAATGTCACGCCTTGCCGTTCGAATACCAGCTCCATTAACTAGATGTTCGGATGTGGGCGGCGAGACGAACAGTTGCAAAGATTCAGACTCGTTGAAGTGCAGGTTAGAGGGGTCTGCACCCTGACGGTAGATGGCATTCCAGTTCTTCTCATACTTGTGCTCGTAGTCCTCAGCTTCGAAATCTTTCGGAAGGCTCGTGGATTCATTAAAATAGACAATTATGGAGTCGGTAAAGAGTTTCTTGGTACCCGAATCATAGAAGCCACAAGAGCAATTGTTGTTGTCGCTGTTGCGGATATCTGCGGAGACGAGGGAACACGACACAATAATGAAAACGAGTGACCAAATGAGAACCATTGTGCTTAAAGAGCGAGGAATGCTGGAATGGAGAGTTGCAGCGATACTCAACTATCAGGCCTTCGATGTTTTTGCAGGCATATCAAACCCTGTGGTGAGCCAGAGAGGTGGATGAAACTGGTACGATGTAGTAGACAATGGCCGCACTCCTAAATCAATAGCTTGATGATCTGCATTGAATGGCCTTTCATGGATTGGGGAGCCGCAGCGTCCGCCCGAAGATTCTCATTGGAATACCAGTGCGTATAGATACATGCATTACAGTAATGACTGGGTGTGGTAGCTCAACGGAAGCGCGTCCACAGAGCGGCATGCCACACAGTCGTGCAGCGGCGTCCGCAGCCCTCTCGGCGGGACCCACACGTCGTCCTTCATAGCGCCACGCAATGAAGATGAGGTGATAACAAGGGAGGACGGCATTCGTTGGATGCAGGCGTGGTGTTGATGTCGGAGAGTAAGACGTGGATGTGACCAAGGATGGTGGCTTACAGTTCCCTAGCGCCAGGTACTGCGGAGAGCACAGACCATGGACCCACTTTTTCAGCCGTGAAGTAGAGTGGCCTCCTTTTCGCACGACCTCGTAACACATGTCTCTCAATCAGAATGCAACACAGGCTCGAGAAACCGCCCTCTAACCCTGGGAGCCATTGTTCAGCCCTTGCCATTTCACAGCACCACGAGCCAGGGATATAGATAGCTGATCATCTTTCAATCGGTCTTTCCAAAGATAGGCCTGCCTGTAAATGCCGTGCAGAATAAGTAGATCCTGCATGAAATCGTCTAAGGGCAATAGGAATTCCTCTCGGCTGAGAGGCGCACTAGGTTCTGGCTGCACATGCAAGGGTCTGGGAATCAGGCCCAGTGGAATCCAATAATACCGAGGCCAATTTTCGGCTCTTGATCTTGACCTCGATAAATAGACAAGCGCGCATGATGACGCATCCACGGATGTCTCCTTCGGGGAGATAGGGTTGTCCTAGGATATTTTGTAAAATAGCTCTCTTATTCTCTGACGTTCTTGTCCGGAAGGAAAGAATCTTTGATGTTCTAAGGCTCGACTCCTTCCATGACTTTCTTTTCACTCTTTTAAATTCGCTCCACTTGTAAACTTAACCCCGGCAGTCATCATTCGTTCTGACTGACCACGCCATTCGTTGAAGCATTCATCGTTTCAAGAAGCTTTGAAGACATCCTTTCGCTATATCACCATGAACGACTCGAAGGATTTCACCATCGATATTGGGGAAGTACCTCCCTACTTATCGGATGAGAATCCAGCCGCAAGGACGAGTATCCTACCAGGGAGTATGACTGAGAGTGCATCAGCATTCATCTCAGAGTGGACGCCATTCAGCTTGGTTGCCTCATACTTTATCTTTTCTACATGTCTCTACATGTACTGCAGCGAAGGCTTGATTGCCATCTTCTGGTTCATCTATATGTGCACCAATTTCTACATTGCTGGGGCGACCGTGCTGGAGGCCTTCATGAGCATCACACCTTGTCGTGAGGGAAGGAAGATTGTCACTCAAGCAGAAGAGAAGGGGTGGCTTTTTCCAACACCACACGACCAACTTCTTGTTCTCGATCTACTCATCGTGGCTTATCTCCCCAACGAAAAGGATATCATTATGGACCGTGCCTTGTATGCTCTAGAACAGATCGACTATCCAAGAGACAAGATTCGAATCACCATTCTATACAACACTCCTAAGTCGATTGAGCCACTTGAGACGGAATTGCACCAACTCATGGACAAATACGCCCACGCACGAGTTATTAAAGTCCCAAACTCCACATCTAAAGCGGATAATCTCAACTACTTCTTCTCTCTTGAGACCGATTCAGACCTCATCGCCATCTACGATTGTGACCACTACCCACACCCTAATGGGCCTCGGTGGGCTGTGGAACGATTCACTGCCGACCCAGACATCGATATAGTTCAAGGCAGATGCGTGATTTTTAACACCGAGGACAGCTTCTTGACCAGTATGATCGCGGTTGAGTTCGATAAGATTTACGCTGTCTCCCACCCAGGCCGGGCCAAGATGTGGGGTTTCGGGCTTTTTTGTGGCTCTAATGGATACTGGAGAACATCACTACTTCGGGAGTTGAAGATGGACGGTGATATGCTCACGGAGGACATCGACTCTGCACTTCGCGCATTCTCCCGAGGATCAAACGCAGTCCATGACTTGAACGTCACCTCGTATGAGCTCGCGCCAACGACATTTCCAGCTTTCTGGAAGCAACGGCTACGATGGGCGCAAGGGTGGGCACAAGCGAGTATGAAGCACGTTAAAATGGTCTACAATAAACCCAACGATCCTCTTCATCCCAATTACAACCGCAACTTTACGGCTCGGTTCGGAGTGCTCTCTCTTCTTCTCATCCGCGAGGCTAGCTACTATCTTGTTACACAATACACCTGCCTTGTCCTCAGCTTCGTCATTACCAAATTCCCCACTTCTGGCGAAGAGCTTTGGAAGCTCGTTTATTTTCAGTACCCGGTTTCACAGTGGCTTTTCATCATAAGGTTCGTACGACTACACGACGCTCTAGAACCACGCTAAAATTTGTTCCTAGCATCATCTGCCTTATTGCGACATTGTGGATCACGAACCAAGTAAAGTCTGAGTTCGTGTCGAGATGGATGATCATCGTCTTCTCCATCCAGTACCCGCTTTATCTCGTGCTATCAGCCACCATCGGATTGTATGGACATGCTAGGCAGGTGGTTCGGTACAGTTCATGGAACCCGACCGCACGAAATTGATGGATTCCTTGCAGTCTGGAGGCACGATAACCCTGTGGCCTTTACAGTTTTCTTCCACTGATATATATTTTGCATTATATTCTGCAAGACGACAGTACACATAATGGCACCCCCAAATAATTTAATTTAAAACGCTTCTAATATATATAATGCATGTTCGAACATCTCTTTTACCTATTTTTGTTTCTGCCTGTGTCTCTACGTTTGATTCTGTATAACGGGGAGTCGACACGCGACGTTCAACAGACGCACGCTCACTTCCACTGCTCCTACGCTTCGTCTATTCAAACTGTGCCACACAGCTCGGACCAGCTGTGGCTATACTTCCCACTCCCGATGCGCTGGAATATAAGTGTCCCAGATTCATCTTACTTCCATCCCTATCACGGTATCTACTGTATCTCACATCGTTCTGCGAGAACCCGAATCATTTCAGCCGCTTCACAATTTCCTGCTCTCGGAACTTCCCTTCCCATCTAATTTAGCATGCCTGGCGATATCTCTTCAACCTATTGATCTACTATCATGATAGACAGGAGCTGAGCCTCATTCCGCCTCAATATTTAAAATTCGTGGGGTACCCACGTTGCATCCTCGCGCGATTCTGGTTCGCCAGTAAAAGGGTCCGAAAATATTAAAAGACGGGAGGAAGGATTCCTTCACGCACTGATTCACAATCGCGCGTGCACTGGCGCATGAGCCCCTGAACTTCGCATAGATGCTGTGCAGGGACAAGCGGGATTGCTGATTCAGTGTAGAATTCAGCACGCTCAATTGGACCCTTGTTCTCGGGAATATATGACCTCGTGACCAACCACATTGGTAGCTCACGTTTTTGGAACCTTAGGCGTCCGTATCTCAGCCTATGGTAGAGCCTTTTGGCTGTTTCAGTTGTAGAAATATTGAAATGAAGTTCGAAGCACACAGACATCACAGGAAAAATGAAGATTTTCGTCCCACCAAGATAACAAGCCAACAGGGAGTGGCCTGAATGCGCCAATATTATCTTAGCTAGGTGGCGTACGGCAATGGCGTCTCCCGATTCGGCTGCAGCAGGCACGACGCCACTATCCATGCGCTGCACGTTCAGCTTGGCGCGATATTTCGACATCTCGACGACGCAGATTTCGGACCGCAACTAAGATATGATGCCTGCTGCATTTCGTGCGACATATGGGTGTCGTGGTCGGCGAGAAGGGGGTGTTTGTGAACAGGGGACGGGTTGATCTCGGCTCCCCGTCGGTGAACTATCGATGATGAACAGATGCCCAGCTGGGGATGGGCGAGTAGGAAAGTTGGCGAAACACGTGTTCCAGGTTTCGTTCTTTACATTCATCGTCAATGTTTAGTTTTGTTTTATCCTAGACATTATCCATGTGAGATTTCCCTTCCTCTTAGCGAGTCGACAAACAGCAGCGCAAGCAGCATTATTACCAACACCATGAAATTCCAGCTTCCTTTCACTCATTTCTCGGAGACTCTTCCTTCTCAACCTTCGTTTATTCCATCGCAAGATTACCTCCTTGGTCTGCGAGGCCTTCTTGTCATCCAGTCTTTTCTCTTCGTTTTCTTCCAGACATTCCTTCCCGCCGCGGTCGTTGATTCGAAGAACACAACAGGCCCACTCTACCAAATCGTCCTACGCAAAACAATTTCAGTCCTTTTCTGGAACAATTCTCTCATCTACTCTTTCTTCATTTTAGTTTCCGCACGAACACTCGCTCTCCCATTCCTTGCAAATCCAAATCGTACCGTATGCTCGTCATCAATCTTCCGTCGGGGCATTAGACTATGGATCCCTACATTCGTCGCATTATCCCTCTCCGCGGCCGCGTTCTCGACAGCCTCTACGAAGTACATTTCCGACTTTCTTGAGCTGACGAACAACATCTCCACCAGCACACCAACCACGTTCAGAAACTTTCTCGTCTACTTCAACTCCCTCTTCGACCTTTTCTGGGTCTCCAAATCCTATGCTTCCCAGGCGGCAAATCAGGCCTTTCCTTCGGGCACACTCTGGACCGTCTCGTTGCTTTTTCAGCAGAGCTACACAATTTATATGACCATGGTCATCATTCCATATACCCGGAATTCCTGGCGTGTGAAAGCTTTGTTGGTTTTCATAGTGACGGCGTGGTGGGTCCAGAGTTGGGCTTGGTATTCGGTGACTGGGTTACTTCTTGCCGATGCTGTGCAAAACATGAACTTCCAAAGAAAATCCCAGAATGGTTTCAAGATAGGACGGCTGAGGGTCAAGATGTGGCCGATATACGGACTGATGGTGACTGCGGGCGTGTTGATGCAGTACTTGTTTATTGCATGGAGGCCGGAGTATAGGAATCAGGAGCTGAAGGGACACACCGGGCTGTATAACTCAGGGAGCTTGAATGAGAGTGTTGATCTCGATCAACCGCAAGCTAGAGATGACAACTATCTAATCGTCCTAGGAGTCATGCTGTTTGTAGAAACTCACGCGGCGCTGCAGAAGGTGTTAAGATGGAAGGTATTCACAGAATTGGGCCGGAGGAGTTTGAGTGAGATTTTATATTTCTTTTCTGTGAACTAAATTGACTGACGATGTTACAGGTATCTTCCTCGTCCAAGCGCTAATGATATATACCGCCGGCATCAAGCTCTATATGCGCCTCCATGCTTTGGGATCGAATCATGAGGTCGCAACCCTTGTATGCTTTATTGTATGCTTGCCATTGGTTGCGTTGGTCTCAGAAGTATTCTATCGCGTTGTTGATATCCCGAGTGTTGCTGTTGCGAAGGAGACTTGGGCATGGATTAAGAAGTAGAGAGAATGCGGAAGAAGATTGTGTCAAAATCGGGGAGGAAATTAGCGTATGTACCATAACCTTTTTACTTTCTGAGATTCTGGCAGAGGACTAGTCAATAGGCTTTCATCCAAAGATAGAAAACTTTAATGCTTGTAATATCTGTCAAACTCCTAATACCAATCGCTACGGCAGTTCATCCAGTAGCTGCATACCGCATCGCTAACTTTCGTCCTCAGATAGAATGCTGGAGTTTGCGCAATGATGATTAAAGAGGAGGCCGGCAAAATTCGCTGGATGTGCTAGGTGTGAGGGGGTTTAAGGTATGCCAAGAGGCTAGTTCTCAAGGTGGCACAACCACGAGCTCAATAACGATCATACAAAGTGTACCTCCTCTCCATCTTCATTCACCCCTTGTATTACCGAAAGCTACCGAAAGTGTCTCACCTTCCACCTCTATCACAATCTCGGATTCTCAGTTGGGCTGTACCTTCAGTCATTCGTAACGTTTTCATGGATATGTCGTTGTCGCCCTTAAATCGTCTTTGGGATCAGTAAAATGACCACGAGCAATCCAATATACAGGGCGACGCGACCTGAAGAGCTTCGGATATTCATCGCGGTGCATTTCAAAATTTTGCTTAACCACTCCAGGGAAGGCCATGGGGTTTGCGGAGGACGCGTTACTTTCCACAGGCCAATCAATCCATGCATGACGATGCATTAAAGCCTTCAGTCGTATAAGGCTGACCGATAACCTATTGCGTTAACTTTCCCTTCATCCTTTGAAGGATTGAGGGAAGCAATAACTTAATTAACATATCAGGGATCGCAGAATCACAAATGGGATCAAGTCTCCCCAAAGCCTGCATTGAACTAGATCACAACCTTCGACTGCTGGGTCTCAAGAAAGTGTCATTGTCTACAAGTAATGAGATCTTATCTACTAATCATTTTTTTTAGATATTGCTGCCGAGATCCCGTTTCGGACACTCGATAAGACGACTTTCCAAATTCAAAGGCCTAGACGTTCCACCTTTTCAAGCGCATTCTTGATGCGGTCCTGTCGTTCGGCTTGTTCGTTCGGGATTCGAAGAGCGGGCTGAGAACTTTCTCTTTCGTCGAGGTATCTCCGCATGGTGAACGAGTGCTGTGAAGTGCTAAGCAAAGTTAGCTGTTAGTCGATTAGACGGAGTGTGAGGCTCACTTTGTCTTGGAAGATGTGGACAAAGCTTGCACTGGTTTTGGGGCCAGGTTCGACATCTTGAAAATTTTTTTTTTTTGAAAAAAACCCTAGCCTTACACGGACTACTAAAATTGATACTATCTATCGAGGGTAGGTATGGCAAAGCAGGTATAACAAGGGAGGTATTGGTTGCGTGTTTGTTTCCACATAACACTTTCACCCTTGAGCTTTATACCCGTATCCTTCTTATTCTTCGCCATATTTCTCCCTGGATTTCTGAGCTGTGCTTAAAATTTGAAATTGAACAAGCTATTCCTAGCACTTGCAAGGGATTTCAAGAAAATGCATCGCACATTTGTGCTCACGTCACGTGTGTACGCCACATCATGTCTTATTGGTGCAAAATACGACTGTCAGCCACATTGGCAGCATCATCGCACATTTGTGCGATGGCTCATCCAGCCTCAGCCTAACTTTCATCCACTCTTCATCTTTTCCGGTGCAAGAAAAAAAGTGGATGGTTATCAAATCCACTCTTAGAAGTCTTCTAGTAGAGCACCATGCTTCACCACTAACTTAAAACGCGATTTCCTAAGCCAGTTGAATCCGGCGAAATGACGAAAACAAGCCGGCCTCTTATTCCCAATGAGACCTCTCAGATGTTTCCATCCTTGTTGGAAGAATCTTGGAAACCGCTATGGAACAAGAAGCCACTGGCTCCCTCTTCATTGAATGAGCCCTCCAGCACCCTTGCTCTCCCGAGTATTGACTTCGGCCTTCCTACCCAGTTAGCCGCCAAACGAGACAGCCCTCTCATTTCTTATACACAAAATCGAAATACACCAAATCAGAAAGAAGCAGTGGCACAGCCCAAGCCATCTCAACACCTTCGCGCTGAACACCCTGATTCAGGTGTAGTCTACTTAAGACCAACGATTAGTCGAGCAAGACCAAGTGGGGTGGATTTTCTGAAGAAGAAAACGCTCAGGAATGATCTGGAAGTGGAATTACAAGACGAGGAACACACGTTGGGTGAATTCTGTTGGAGGCCGGGCGTGCCCGTAGGCCCTCTAGAATCAAACCCAAATCCTAATATTTCCCAAGACGAAATGAAGAGCAAGGCGCTTCATGAGAGTCGTACTCAAAAGAACTTTAATATGGCTTCATCTATGGGATCTCTTACATATCGGAGTCGGCGTGATCATGAAGAGAAGGTACTAGAAGCTCCTAGTTGTAGTGGACGTTCTACTTCCTTTAATCCAGCTAGCAGCACCGCCAGGATGGAAGAGCTAGAAAGACCACGATTTCCAATGATACTTCCACACAGACAAAGAGTTCCACAATGGCCAGAAATACTTACACTAAGGCGAGAAGAACTTCCACCAAGGCAAGAACTACTTCCACGAGACCATGTCGATATCCCCCGCAAACGGAAGTGGAAGTTGGTATCTGCACACGATAATATCGAAAGCTTAAACACAACCTCAGATACCACTATATCTCAAAACTCAGGTCTAAAGTCGCATTTCTTGTTAGCCTTTTCCAAGATCACGCGTAAACTACTGGGGGATCTGTATTTACCGGAAGGGGTCCGATCTAAGGCCAAAGGCCCTGTAGCTTCTGGTGATAGTGGCTCTAGCTCGCAGATCTCGGACAGTTCTGCCCAGAGAGTTTCCACGTCTGGAACAGCCAACCGTGGAGGAACCCAAAAGAGGAGACGAGATCCAGGAAAAGACTCAGACAAGAATAATGACGACTCCGACGATAACGACGAAGGTAGAAGACGAAGAAAATGTCCGAGGGGTCTGAAGAAGCCCGAAGGCATTGCAAAGAGATTGAAATGCCCATATTACCAGATGAACCCAATCCAGCACACCCGAAATGCCTGCAGAGGCGCCGGATTTGCAGACATGGCGAAACTAAAGTAAGCCCAGCAGCTTATCATACCGCATTCTTCTAAGAAAAGGCTAACTCGAATTCCAGAGATCATCTAAAGCGTGTGCATTCACGGCCTATCCAATGCCCCCGCTGTTGGACAGACTTGCCCTCGGAACACGCTTACACGAAGCACCTAGTTGCTGAGCCGATTTGCCTGAAAGTACTGCCTCCAAATCCAAACGATGATCGCATTTCCGTGCGAGAGTTACAAGGCATCAACTTCAACCGATACCCGTTTGCGCAAAATCAGAGTGTGGAGGAAAAGTGGAAAACCCTGTTCCAGATGCTATTCCCTGATGCAGGGCATATCCCGTCTCCTTGTAGGCTTTCCATACACTTACCAAAGAAGACCTCCTAACCCACAAACAGATGAGGAACCGGGCCTGAATGAGAATTTTGACCGACTACTGGCGGAAACTCTAGAGGAGGAGCTGACGAAAGAACTCGTCCCCGCCCTCGGACCCGCAGTCTCAAGAATTCGTGGGCGGCTGGCGGGAATCATACAGTTGTGCAAGAAGAGAGCGTTCGAAATGTCAAGCAAAAAAAATAAAGCGCATCCATCGAATTCATCAGGGAGTTGTGGAAGGGCCACGCCCTCGACGGGTTCGGACTTAGGGCCTCTGTCTTTACTGGACCGAGATGAGGGAGCTCACCAATTGTCTCTCGTACAAGATAACCGGGGTGGGATTGCTTCACGTCCAGCATCTGCCGGGAAAGCGCCACTTCCCAATAACGACCACTTTGAGGTTGTGCGTCCTCTGGGCTTTCCGCCTACCGCAGAGGACACGCCGCCATTATCGATGTTTGATCGAGAAGAACAACCAAAGGCCGAGGTGGCAAATTCCCTTAGTACTAGCTGGATTTTAGTTGAAGATCACAGTGAAACGTATGAGCCTGACGCCCGGAAATTGAGCGATGCAGAGCATCAGTGGGAGTTCAGTGTGGAAAACGGGGCAAAAGGCAAGTATCTCTTTCACCTGCCCGGGGAATACCCATTCCCTTTGAAGCCCGATATAGATTTTGACAGTTTATCGGATGATATCTATACCCAGTTTCTTCATTTCGACTAGAACGAAAGCCCTCGTCATAGGGCTAGAACGACAGGAGGTCATGGATGTCAAGACGTTTCTTTATGGCAACGTGCAAAAGAGTACATTTGGGCACGGGTCCGGTCATAATGCGAAGTCCGGGCCTTTATGCACGAGTCTGAAGCGCAATCTGTTTCCAGGATTACTTTCCTCTCCCTTACTCTCAATAAATTCCCTTCGACGCCAAATATTTCGAACAGGTATCGTCGTTTTCACCCCTTCCGCCCCGCCACAAACTCAGGGTTAGACGAGAAGACGAAAGCGGTTCTACTTGCGTATTATAGTCATCCACGATCTACGAGCGTCGAAATATCCATCCACATGTTTCTGCGAGGAACTCCCGCCGCTTTAAGGTTTTAATTTACAGACTCTGGAGGGACATATGGTGCACTATACTCCACATAATTATATCGCCCTAACCCCAACACCCACACTTCCCGTCTCAAACAATTCCACCAACCCCGCCCCCACACACTCCTCAACAATCCACTCAAACCGCAACCCCCAAAACTGCCTCCACTTTTTCGTCCGCCCTGGCAACACACCCGTAAACTCCCCTCTCGCTCTCTTCGTCCTCGTCTGTTCATCCGATCCCGGGATCCCACCATCCCATCGCTCGCGAAGAATATCCATCGGGGCTTCGCGGTACTTGGACTTCTTAAGGAGAGCGAGGAGATGGGCTCGTGCTTCGACAAGGAGCTTGATGTGCGAGCCAGTGTTTGGGAGCGAGAAGTTGTAGTATGCGGTTGGTGGAGGTCGGTGCCCGGTTCCTCCAGAGATGTGTTGAGTTGCTTGGGCGCCGCCGACGGCGGCGAGGGAGCCAGCTGCGTGGCGGGAGCCAGCGGAGGAGAGAGAGGCCAGAGTGCCGAGACTACCGACACCAGGGGATGCAAAGAGGCTGGAGCGGGAGTCGGGCGCTGTGGTGGTAGTGAGGAAACCAGATGTTGTCAAATCGGAGAGCTCGGTGGAGGTAAAGGCTGTGTTAGGGATGGTGGTAGATATTGGGTTTGCATTCATCACGGATATGTATTTCGCTGATGCTTTATTAGTAATGCATTGAGGAATAAGGAGAGAAGCCCACTCTTGAGACCATCTTCTAGACCAGCATGTGAGTTAACTAAGCGCCACCATTCCGATACCAAAGCTATTCCATCTCCCACAGCCGCCGCACCAACACCTCTATGGGGTATCGTAACTCTACGGAGAACCCCGGCATGTGCGAGTTCATTGATCTCCCGCTCAGCTTTCGTTGACGACGGGCTCAGGGCATCAATATGCGCAATTGTGACTATCGGCGGTAGCCCGGCACGATAGTTCAGCACTTCAGCGATCCTTGTGGAATTCATCCCCGCTCTTTCTAAGGGGATGTCGCTGAACATTCTGTTACGGATGTACTCCATATACTGCGGGACATCACGGAAGTGCAGATCAGATGCCAGCGAGGCTATTACGCCGGTGTCGTCCAGACGCTCATCATCTCCACTAGAAGCATGCGTTACTGGCTGCGACGACTTCCGTCGAGAGCTAGGTTTGGATGGGGAGGATGCCGAGCGTCGTAGGGCTGAGGCAGCAGATGGCTGACGGGACTTCTTGATTCGCGATGAGCGGGCCAGAGTGCTTTGGAAGGACATTTCCTCCGCTTGTGGGCAAGTCTACCGTCTTATCTAGGGGAGATGACCCTTTGGTTTTGGGAGAATGAATGGCAAGGAAAGGGAGAAGGAGGCAAGGAAGCGCAGCAGATATAAGAACGCTAGGCGGCCGAGATGAGTCGTGCCAAAGCTTAGGCAGCAAGAGATTCAGCCTGGAGAGAGGTGCTAACCGTAGCGGATTACCAAAGGGAACAGTCATCTCAATCGCCGCAAGGGCATGTCCTCAAAGTAGCGAATAAGCACAGGATGCATGTGGGAAGAGCACGAGCCTGGTGGTGTTGACTACCTGGACAAGTGCAAGCTCTTTCATACGAGATACCAGATACCAAGATACCTCGGCACCGGTACACTCGCCACACTCGCCACAAGTGCCACAGACACTAGGCCCAATTTGGTGGCATGCTCCCCCTCCAAAAGCAAGCACCACGGCCAAATGCAAGGGGGGTATTGAGGAAAGGGGCTCCTAAATTCTAACATGGCCGAGCCCTATTCGCGCTTTCTACGCCTTTTCAGCGCTACATGGGCAAGCGTATGCCCCAAGCGGACGTGTTATGAAGGGGTTGTTGGTGCATATTCGCGCTCCAGCCACGCGACGTCATCTGCACTCCACGACCGAAGCTTGCGGAGCTCCAGACCTCAACAAAAAACCAGCACTTAACACCATGACCCCCCCTTCCTGACGTCGCCCTCACACCAGACTCTATTTCCTCACCATCGCTGCCATGTCGCTCAACGCAGAGCCGTCCGTGCCCGAGGAGCGCGAGGCCCAGCACCTCCCACCCAAGTCGTACGCTGCAGCAGCCGAAGAGGCCCTCGCTGTCGCCCTGGCCCCAGAACCAGAATCACATGTGAACGGTACCGGTGGTACCGACGCGTCGAATCGAGCTGAGAATATTGAGAACATACAGACAAATGGGAAGATCAAGATACCCGCAGACGAGCACCACCAGCAACAGTACGAAGGCGAAGGGCTGGACGGCATCCCCAAGAGCCCGCCGAGAGGGCATCGCCGGAAGACGTCGCGCAACTCGAACGGCTCAATTGGACAGAAGCACGGCGAGCACATTGAGCATGTCGAGCACCTCGACCTTCCAGTGCACGTCAATCACCACGTCTACGAGAAGCACCAGGACGGCAATGGCAAGCCGCTGACGAGCGTGAAGCCCGCGCAGAGAAGGGACACCCTGAAGTCGGGCAGGCAGGCCGGCGCTGGCTGGCAGAGGAGCAAGTATGTTGGCAATGCTCTCCCGTACAACCCCGCCTTGAGGGAATCACACTCACTCGTCCAGAATTCGATTCGCCCCCCTCAATGTGCCCCTCCAACGCCGTCTGCAGACCCTCGCCGTGCTCATGCACACGCTCAGCATCGCCGGTACCCTCACCATCTTCTTCTTCCTCTGCAGCATCCCCTTGCTGTGGCCAATTCTCCTCCCCTATCTAATATATGTCCTCTTCTCCAACGCTGGCACGTCCGGCGAGCTCTCCTTCCGCAGCGAGCGGTGCCGCCGATGGTCGGGGTGGTCCCTTTTTGCCTCGTACTTTCCCGCTCGCCTTCACCGCTCGCAGGAGCTGGAGCCGACGCGGAAATACATCTTTGGCTACCACCCACACGGCATCATATCCCACGGCGCATTTGCTGCCTTCGCCACCGAAGCTCTCGGCTTCTCGCAGCTGTTCCCCGGCATAACCAATACCCTCCTCACCCTCGACTCCAACTTTCGCTTGCCCCTCTACCGGGAGTACGCCCTCCGTATGGGCCTCGCATCCGTCTCGCGGGAATCCTGCGAAAACATCCTCTCCAAAGGCGGCCGCAACGGCGAAGGCATGGGCCGCGCCATCACCATCGTCGTAGGCGGGGCCCGGGAATCGCTCGACGCCACGCCCGGCATCATGCGTCTCGTGCTCCGCAATCGTAAGGGCTTCGTCAAGCTCGCTATCCGCACCGGCGCTGACCTCGTGCCCGTGCTCGGCTTCGGCGAGAACGAAATTTACGAACAGCTTAACGTGAAGTCACACCCTTACGTCCACAAGTTCCAGCTCCTGGTTAAGAAGCTTATGGGGTTCACTGTGCCGATTTTTCATGCTAGAGGGATTTTTAATTATGATGTGGGCATGATGCCGTATCGACGGTCGATGAATGTTGTTGTCGGGAGGCCGATTCAGATTGTCCAGGCTCAGCATCCGGACAAGGATTATGTTGATCAGGTGCATAGTGAGTATATTGAGGAGTTGACGAGGCTGTGGGATGAATGGAAAGATACGTTTGCTAAAAAGAGGCTGGGCGAGCTGGAGATTGTTGACTGAGTGAGCAGTAGGACGCGAGGGGCTGGTTTGTAACATTTTTTGTACAGTTGCTTTTGTGGGATTCTGTCCTTTTTGGTTTTGCGGGTAACGGCACTCTTGGCTTGGGAACGAAACGGAATTTGACGGCCGAATGGGTGGAGACTTGTGCTCATGCCACTGGCTCATCGTTCCAGGGAGAGCGGTTAGTATAATTGAGGGAATATAGATCTACGGTTGCCATTTGATGTCGCTCGTGTTGTTCTGATTTCGGAGTGGTGTCTGTAAATGCAGTCTCTCCCTTGTGTTCAAAGTCCAGTCCGGTTCACCCGCTCAAGCCTCCTTTGCGGTCCTCCAAAGCCTTTAATAGCCAGACTTGATGGTAACCAACCTATTTCCACTCGATATGTATACCTATTTCTCTGGGAACAAAACGCAGTTACGAGGACAATGCCAGGTATCTGCCCTTCGTTAATTTCTCCTTTGGTTCTGGATGATGGTTCTCGGTTTGGAGGCCTGTGGCATGAATTTTACGGGTTGAAAATATGTTTCAGGGCTTCAACGCCGAAACTAGTCGTTCATCTAGCCATTAATACGAACCTTTCTAAGGGGCGATAACTAATTTCTCTTCATTTTTGAGTCTAAATTTCTCCCCAGGCCCAAACTTACTGTTTAGTGAACTAGTAGAGTAGCTCCACGCTCCTCCATCTACATTTTATCCTTGTTTCACACTCTTTGGCACTAAACGCTTCTTAGGCAAGTACTAGATAAGAAGTTTTCTGCGATTTGAATTGTTTACTAATCTTTCGTGTTTGCGGTTATGGAACTCACAGAACTCCCTCACCTGGGATGTCTCATTCTATGACTGTTGTACAATATTCCGCACTAAAAAGAGACTCGCACCTTGATACTATTTCTGTCTTAGATCTAGATTTGTATTCACAGCTAGAGTCTTACACTCTATTGCTGTATCTTATTACCACCACGATATAGAGAGGAGCTTTTCGCTCGTTCATCAATCAACTTAGTTCCTTATGGTCTTAGTTCTCTAAAAGTTTTCACATTGGTATTCAGAGAGGGAATTCCAACAGAATATGCTGTGTAGGGTATGAGCAAGACATCAGTCTTGTAATGAACGCCCTCCCACAAATAGTCCTAAACTGACTTGCAAGAGAAAATGCAAACCTGCATCTCCAACTCTGTATCCTGTCAGCTCTTTCTTCAGGCCGACGACAGCAATCACATCCCCCGATTTCCACTTCACCACCACCAATCCATTTCATTCAACCCGCACCCGGTCGAAGCTAAAACTTATACTCCTGCAGTTCCTCCAGTGGCCTAGACCTGAACCCCTCCCATGCCGTATCCTTCGCCTTCCCGCTGAACGACATCGTGTTCTCGATCGCCTCAAGCTTGTCCACTAAAACCGCATTCTTGCCCTGGACATCGCGGTAGTGACGATACATGCCATCGAGATTGAGCTCTACAGATCGTTTGTCACGATGCATCTTCTCGTTTGATTCCTTTACAGTGTTGTAGTTATTCACGATCTTGCGGAGATTCTTTGTTTCTTCCTCGGCCGCCTTGATCTTGGCCCTGGCTTCCTTTTGGTGGATCCTGGCGCACTGCAGCATGTCCTGAAGCTCAGTAATCTCCGCCTTCATCATGTCCTTCTCCGCGTTATACACCTTCTCAAGGTCGATGTATGTTCGGGTGGCGCGTCGCTGCTCGGTCCCATCTTTCTCAAGCTTGGTGATTAGGATATTCTGCCGGTTCAAGTCTGCCTCGAGCTTGTCAATCTGGTCTTGTTTCGCAGCAATTGACAACGCGAGTTTGCGCTGAAGCTCGGTAGTCCGTTTGTTGAGATTTTTTTTTGCGTTATCAGACTCATCGTACAGACTGAGGACCAGATCCTCTAACTCCGCGATCCTAGCCTTCAACTTGTTCTTCTCGCCTCCATCCTTCTTCTTATCGTCTTCCAGCCCGCCCACCTCGACTTCCAGTTCTGCAATCCTGCCTTCCAGCACGGCCCTCTCAGCTTCGTCTTGCTCGCGATATACGTCAACAGCTTTCTTGAGAGCAGCTGTGAACTGGTCTTTCGCAGAGGCACGGCGAGGGTGGCCTCGCTTTGGTGCGGGAGCCTCGATGTCCGAGGAAGCTGATCTCTTGACATGAACGGTGAGTTCAGAGGTTGCGGGTTCGTCCATGGTGACGGATGAGGAGCTTCGCGGAGGGGGAGGCTGTGGTGAGGTTGGGACGTGAGTAGTGGGTGGGAGATTCATGATGGATGTCTGTCTGGGAGTTTAGGTCGAAGGTGGACGGGGGGTGGGGGATCTTGAGTAAGAGGCGAGATGGGAGGAGTCGGAAGTGAAGGTGAAGGCGGTGAAAGTGGCGGGCGAAGATGAATAGTGAGGCATTGTCGATGTTCCTCAGTTCGTCAACCAACCAAGCGTATATGCTTGAGTAAACCTCATATATTTTGAAGTAAAAGATTTGAAATAAATGAAGTAGATGGGCGGAGATGAGGAGAGAGGTTGTAAAGGGCGACAAGTTTCGGAGTAGCAAGGCACTAGCCCGAGCGATAGCTACGGGCGGTAGAGCATTTAGAACGGGTTGATTCGGAGGGGTTTCGAAAAGGTATTGAGAGACGGGAAGTCAGATGAAAATTGAACTGTAGTGCCTTACAAGAAGGCGTAGTTCAGAATAAGGAATAAGGAATAAGGTTGGCCTCGAGAATCCCTCAACGACTTCTTTTAGTTGTCATGATTTACGACGTACGAGCAACAGAGAGCACTTCCAAGAGGCGAAACCATGCCGCGTGAGTGGCCATGCCAGAGGCTGAGCTTGCTCATCTGTTCTTACGGACATATAAGATACTTCTGCAGCGTTAAATTCGACCCAACATTTCTAACACCACAACTTCATTCCATAGTTTCTAGCTATCTATCATTAAGCAGTAGTCTAGCACACCCAGTATGTGCAGTACCTTCAAAATCTGTCCCAGTTCAGGTCAAAGCTCTTCAACGTCGCCAACGCAACTTCAGTTCCTAGCTTAATACCCGCCGCACTCGCAAACGGGAAATGAATCTATGTTACGTCAGTTAAGCCCTTTACCGTACACAGTTCCCACACATATACTCACCCCACCAAACACTCTACTGTCACCATTCTCCGTCGCAGTATACGTCAAGTTCGTGTAATGTCTCGTAATAACTCCAACATTATCAATCGTCACATTACTGCTGACAGTGACATTGATATGGTCCGTTCCAAGGAAACTACGGATAACCTGGGAAGCGGCACCGCCGAAAGTCGCATGAGTAGACACATAATCAGGATGGCTGGGCGTAGGGTGCAGAAGGGGAAGCCAGGTTTGGTTTGAGACATCGTGGCCGCTTGGAAGCCAAACGGTAGCGTTGTATCGAAGGGCAGTGACAGGTCTCCAGGCATTGTATTTGTACCTATGAGGGTTAATAAGGGCCAACTAGAGTACAGCGAAGAGAGACAGCTTACTTGATAGCCCATCCTGCAACCCCGGCGTTTGCCAAAGCGTAATGAAGCTGTGCGTAGAACTTTGCCGATTTCGTGACATTGGTAGCCAGGGAGTTTCCGATGACCGCATTGGCAATTCGAGGCCAGAGACTGCAAGGCATCAGCACCATCTCGGATCTGATCTGGTGGCACATACATGAGGCTGTTCTCCCTCCAGAAATACGCTGTATCTGTGTTGAACTTCGTCCGCACGGTCGAATTACGGTCTCCCTGAACCGTTACATACTCTAATAGCTCCTCATATCCAGGATCTGTCGTCCCCGGGGGATCGGCAGTTTTGAACTGGCTCACATCTCCCGTGTTCGCGAATAGTGTTACGAACCGAGCTTGGGGTGTATCGGGAAGAGGCGCACCTCCTACGATAGCTTGATATACGCCTGGAGAGCTTGGAGCGTAAGTGTAGTCAACGAAGTCATTGATTTTGTCACCAGCCCGAGCCGTGATAGCCGTGCGAGCGGCGTCTTGGCCAATCTTGACCGCGGCACTTCCTTCGGTGGAGTTAGCAGCCAGTCCGATGGAACTCAAAATGGTCTTCAGAGCGGCACTAGTAGCGGCGTAGTTGCGGGTACCATGAAACCACCAGATAAGTGAATTGTGTGCGGCATGGGAAACGGCCAGTTGCTGGTACGCCAGTGAGCCGCTCTGGGCTTTCGTTGCAGCAAGATAGATGGCTCCATGAACGATTGCTGGACCCCAAGCTGAAGGGGGGGATTGCAGTCCTCCTATGACCGTGCCATTGACTAAGTTCGCTGTCTGCTCGACCCTGAAGCCCAGGCATTAACCTATGTACTTGTGGGCGTGGCCAGAATATACCTACCAATACTGCACAATATCTCCCGAGTACGCAGCTTGCGACCCCGTCAAAGCAAAAGCTAGGAAACCGAAGGAGGTCTTCATAATTATCACAGTTTTCGTGCGTCAGCGGGGGTTTGCATGCTTAATATACAATAAATGGTATGCAGGCACAGATTAGCCAATGGGATGGAACAACAACGTCACCCATGAATTGGCAACATCACGTCATTTGAGGTCCTAACCTTTCAGAATTTTCCAGATAGCCATTCAGGGATACGAGGCGCAATACCATACTTATATAGGTCGGATCTGTGGTAGAAGGATGGGGTTATTGGGCGAGTGTCGCTTGTGGAAGCACGACATCATTGGTTCCGATGACGAGGTGAACGCTAGCCTTGGCATAAGGCTTTGACGGGTCTTATTAAACATGTCTTATGCAATTCTCTAGAATAAGTAAGAAGCTTACTCTTTTAGTCTTCTTAATATAACCTGCTTAGCGTAGGTTATTACGCAGTGCTTATAGTGTACTTACTTTTTAGCAGAGCTTGCTCTGCTTATTATATTCGGGTTTGCAGAACAAAAAGTTGAGCAGAATCTCCTCTTTTAGACGCGCTAGTTAGTCAGAATTTCTTCAGATAAACCCTAGTAACGCTATTTCTCTGTCACCTTATGTATTTATTGCATTCTTTTTTAAAAAAAAATGTATACCTAATATAAGTGCACCTTTCTGTTAATTTGCATGCAGATTGCTCTAGTATGCGTTGTGTAAAACATGTTTAAATTATAGTTAGTTCTGTTCCACCTCTCTAGCCACATCGGTGTGTCGGGGATTGGCATCAGCCACATTGGTGTGTC